CGATGGCGAAATAGTTGAGAGGGTTTGGTGAAGTTGGCGTCTGGCATCCATTTCAAAATGACGCCTGCATGAGAATCATCTGCTCCTTCGTCGCCTCCACTCAGGGGGCTAACTTCCAGACCAGAGATCTCGATCACAACTTGTCCGTCGGAAACTCCAACAATAGTACTCGTGGCAGTTCCGTTAGTCTCGTTGCCGGCACTAGCGACAACGTTGATGTGTCCAGTTGGTCGAGCGACGTACACCTCTCGAATGTAAGTGGGCACAATCAGGCCCCGAAAGTTTCGCTCTAGACCACGGCACTCGGATATCATTGCCACATGCATGCTCGTGTCGAGAGTGGCCGGATGAATTGAATAGGCCGAATTGGTGCAATCTGCGAGTTTGCCATCCAGTGTTGCAAAAGCCTTGGCTTCATGGACGTGGGAACTGACATCAGATAGACCCCGAAAGTTGGGACCGTAGTTCAGGCCGTGTCTCTTCCAAGTGTTGTAGAATGAAGTTGCGGAAGCTTTGCGCGGCAGGACAGGCATGTCAGGGACAACATGCTTCCAATCTGAGCCAGGTCTGCACTGACCAAAGACATGGCTGACCCAGACTTCGCTCCCTTCTGCAAGTGAAGAAATGGAGAAATCGTAAACAGTCTTCTTATTCGACCTTTTCGACCTTGTCGGATTGAGTACCGTCACAAGCTCGACTGGCTTGCCATTGAGAATCAACGCCGCTTCCATGGTCACGGCTTCCAATGTAAAGTCCACAGATCCTTTGAGTTGACTCAGGGCCTGTCCAATCATCGAAATAAAACCAGAGGCAGGAAACGTGATGCTGTCCCGAATGATGTGTTCTTGCAGCCATGGAACGTCTTCAAGTCGTAGAATACACCTCCACGCGGGGCAGGCATCGGAGGTCTCTTCGACGCGAGAGCCGAGAAGTTCGTGATGGTCGAAGTTTCTGAAGCGCCAACTGCGAGAAAGTCTGCCCTCTTTCCAATACTCCTCATCGTAGTGCCATGGATATGTTGGAAGATTCGTCAAAAATTGTCCCGGTGGGTTGACTGCAGCAACGTTAATGTTGATGTTGGCCAACCAGAGCTCTCCCGCAGTCTTTAGAACAGCTGAAACGGCTCTCTGATTGCGCACCAGTGTCGGTATGTACTGGGCGGATATGTTTTTGAAGTGTAGGATTTGACGAATAGGCCCAGCAAGGGCGGAGTGCGGGCCAATCTCGATGAAAATAGGAGATTTGAAATCATCTAGGACTCCTTGTACCGCTGTGTTGAACAGAACGGGCGAGATGACATTGCGGACCCAATAGTTGTGAGACATGTCTGTGTTCTTATCTCCTGTCACAGACGAGTAGAACGGAATCCGCGGCTCCTTATTTTGAAGTAATCCCTCCAGACGGGATCTAAAGTCATCGGCAGCTGTTTTCATGTGATCTATGAGAGTAATTAGACGGGCAATTACGATACAAAGTCGAAACCACAATAGTATGAACTCACGAGAGTGGTATCCGCACTCAACACGGAGCCTTCGAGCGAGAACATCCGGGTGCTCAGAGCTGATGTCCTGAAGAATATCCCCTAGAACATCGCTTTCGCCTGAAAGAGTGACATTTGACGGAGAGTTGTCACAACCTATGATGACACCCAGGCGAAGGAACCGTTCAATCTGCCTTCTGCCGAGCCCAACTGCTGCCATGCTGCCACTGTGTGCGGCTTTGATGAGACGAGTGATCTGACCGCGATGATAGGCAATCAAGATAGCCTCCTCAGCTGTAATTGCGCCAGCCGCATATGCAGCAGCGGTCTCGCCCGAAGAATGTCCCACTACTGCGGTGGGCGAAACGCCCCATGAGCGCAGCAAGTCGACTAGTGCAACTTGAATCGCAACCAAGCATGGTTGCGAAAACTCTGCGTCGTGGAGACGACTCTCTTCTTTCGGAGCTGAGAGTAATTCTGAGGAAATCAGAGAGTCAGTGAGTCTTCAATAGATTTTGCGTGTAGAAGAATCGAACCTCGTAGTGTCCAAGGCGGAGGATCAGGAAGACCTGCAAGGACTCCTTCCATGGCATCGATTCTGTCTCTGAACAAACCCTCTTGTTCTAGAAGCTCTTTGCCCATTTGAGCCCACTGAGCTCCTTGGCCCGTGAAGACCCAGACTAAATCTGGTGTTGCCGTTCTTGATTTGACAATAGACGAAACCTGAAAGGGACTATTGCCGTCGGTCACACAGAAAGCTCGGTATGGGTGAGTCTCTCGATGAGATGCAAACGAGTATGCTACGTCACCTAAGCTTTCAGGTTTGCGACTTAAGTAACCCTTAACCTTCTGGCTCATGACATTGATTGAATCGGGATGTTTGGCAGAGAATGTCAGGAGTTGGTGTCTTGGAACCCTGTGCCCTGAGTTCAAGCCGTTCGTGAGGGTTGATGATGATAGGCCGAAGCAACAGGCAGACTCTAGCAAAACCTATAGATTTCAAGTCATTAGCTCAGAATCTTTTGATTGGAAATCTAGAGCTATCGTCTAGGAAACTCACGTGAGCGTTGGACCCGCCGATGCCGAAGCTGTTGATTGAAACTCTCTCCTCTTTGTCAGTTGGCCAGGGTGTAGGCTCTGTGGGAACTTGAAGTTTGGCACTTTTCCACGGAACTTGAGTCAGGAAGCTGGTTAGAAACTGTTTCTAGTGACCTGCAATCCACATGTCACTTACTTCGAGGATTAGGAGTTTTGAAGTTGATGTTTGGTGGTATTGTGGAATTCTCCAACGCCAGAACCATCTTGATCACGCTGGACAGTCCAGAAGCCCCTTCGCCATGTCCGATATTTGGCTTGACCTAAAAAACCATGTAAATAACGTATCTGCAACAACATTCTGTTGAGTCCGGGAACATACTGAGCCGATATAAATACCATGATCGCCCCAAATATTGGCCACTGCACTAACTTCCAAAGGATCTCCGACCTAGGCATAGAAACGTTTTGTAAACAAAGTGCACGTCTCTTCGGAATTTCTCGCTGTGAAACTTACATAAGTGCCAGTGCCGTGGCACTCTACCATCGCAGTCTTGGACAGGTCAGTGATTCCAGCCATTTTGTGTCCCCTCCTCATGAGTTTTTCGTGAATTTCAGGGTTAGGCGTTGTCAGTCCTGGTGTTCTGCCATTTCCGGCAGTGCAGGTTGACCGAATCACCGCCCTGATAGGATCGCCATCGCGCACTGCATCTGACACCTTCTTGATGTAAATGGCAGAGACACCTTCACCGCGTGCGAATCCATCGGCTTCGGCGTCAAAGCTTTTGCATGCTGCTGATGGAGACAGGACTCCGTTTTGCTGCATTACCACGGTGTCCTTGGGACTGAGGATAAGGTTGACGCCCCCAACTATGGCAGACGAGCAGTCCCCGCTGTGGAGGTCTTGGCATGCCTGATGTAGTGCAACAAGAGAAGCGGAACATGCAGTCCGTACAACGACGCTGGAGGTTTTGTCAGAAATGACGATACGGAAACTCATGGCTGAAGACTCACCTCGGTCCTGTAAGATCAAACTCATAAGAGGCTCGGTTGGCAATGATGTAGTCTCCGTACACATCAGGGCGGACTTGTTGGAGGCTTTGGCCGTCACGAGACTCAAGCTGACTCCAGTCTTCTCCCATGGTTCCAACGTAAACCCCGACATCGCTTCCCCTCCAACTCGTCGATCCTGAGTTCTCAAGGGCTTCATAGGCAACTTCGAGGAACAGACGTTGCCGAGGGTCCATAAGTTCAGCCTCCTGTTTGGTGAAGGACCAGAAGCTAGGATCTACATGTGCCAGATTGATGTCATCGAGGAAATAGCCAAACTCACTAGGCACGTGAGCCGCCTTCCCACGGCCATACCAGGTGTCGACGTTGTAACGACTGTTTGGGACTCGACAACGTCCGCTTCTGCCGTTGACGAGGAGGTCCCAATAGTCGGTAGCGTTATACACGCGTCCTGGGAGTCTCATGCCCATGCCTATGATGGCGATAGGCTCAAACGAGCATGACTTTTGATGGCTTTCATTGCACATACCATTCATTGTGTGTGTGTCGCTATCCGTCATGGTGTCTGATTGATGTGTTGGACTTGTCAAAGCGGTCCATTCTCCATACTCACAACATCTCCCACGTAAAAGTTAAAACAGGCACATGGCTTGATTATATGCGGGCTTTTCTGACAACTCTGTGATTCAGCCTTGAAAAACCGTGCTAGAATGTTACCGAAATAAGAGACATGGCTTACTCCGAGGCTAAAAAGTCCAAGAGTGAATCAGCCTTCGCCATTCCAATAGCGTCAATCTAGGCATGCAAACAGTTGGCGGCTAATACACGACATCTTGATTACATTGGCTTTTATCCGGAGCTTCCAGTCATCTCTGCGAATCGGTACGTTAAGGAAACTTCCGAGGTCCGCACATGTGCCCATGTGGCCTGTGATGTTCATGTGGCCTGTGATGTTCATGAAGCTGATTCGGTCGGTACAGGTACGGCACAGCAGGAACACGAAGTTGACCCAACGATCCAACCGCATTAAGCTCACAGCCCGACGGTTTTCCATATCTTAGGTCAGACGGAACTTCAGTGTGGTGGATTCCTTTCAAAGTTCTCACCAAAGCTGAGGTCAAGCCTGCCTCCTCGTTGGTTGCTGAGTCCACCATGATGCACAGTGCAGACTTGTTGGTGGTTAGTGTCGAAAAGAATGCGTCAACCCACCATCTTCTTGCGGGATGAACCCCTATGACATTTTTTTTCCAAAATGAGAAGAATGCGCGGTTTGTCGAGCTGCAGCGCAACATCGGTAGGATTTGCAGGATCGAGAGTTGTACGGCACAGCGCGTTGGTGGTTGTCATCCCCCACACACACCATTTGCGACCTGCATGCTGGCGAGGAAGAATCCGACTCCCCGTGTCCGCATACCGAAAGGGATGCAAGATGTGGGACAGATGGGTTCATGCACATTGTCACATACGGTCACCGGAGTTGAAGAACAAAGAATTTGGAAACAACTCCGAGCATCGCCGGGCGTCTGATGTCTGAACTAGTTATCAGTAAACGGCAAATTGTTCATATAATCAACGACAAGGACTCTCGGAAGCCTTCACAAAATAATTTGCCTTCTTCTTCGTAAACTGCCTTTTCGTACTTATTTGACCTTGCGGGAAATCAGCTTTATGTCCCAGACGCTCCAATCATTTAGAAGCCATCATATACGACAAGGATTGTTGACGAAGTGACGATCATCCGCGGCTACTCCCTCCCCGAAGTCACATTGCAGTATTACTCGCTGGAGACATTTACACGGAAACTACGGTTCGTCGATAAGAGATCAACACCGACCAACATACCTTACACCCCATTTTAATTCTTCAACTTTTTCCAGACTTTCAAACTTTTCTTTCAGAGACGTCAGGGCACTGATGGAATTTCACGCTCCGGACCCAGTGCAACTGCATGCACGCTTACGGCCGAACGGTCTGGCCTGCATCGACCTCGCAACCAACCGCCGGTGGACGTATGCGGAACTCAACGCCGACATCCAACGCGCAACCGCGGTGCTATCCGAGCAAGGGGTCCAGATCGGTGACAGAGTGGCGACCACATCGGTCAACAATGTCCATCAGATCATTCTGCAGCAAGCCCTGATGAGGCTAGGTGCGATCCATGTCCCGCTGAACTGGCGCCTCGCCCGGCCCGAACTCGCGAAGCTGTTGGCCGACTGTACCCCATCCATTCTCTTCACAGATCACGACGACCCACCGGAGCTGCCTCTTGGCTGTCGCCACATTGGATTTTCGTCATTCTGTGCCAATGTGGATGCTGCAGAGCCTGGGCCCCGGCTGGGTGCGAGGCCTTTGCACGAGACGTGCATCATTCTCTACACGTCTGGGACCTCCGGGACGCCCAAGGGTGTTATGTTGACCGGCCAGAGTGTCTTGGCGACGACCTTCAACTTTAGTATTCTTTCAGAAGTCGATACGGCTAGCGTCTTCTTGTGTGATGGACCCATGTTCCACTTCATGGGTCTCATCGCCCAGATCTGGCCCTCACTGATGCGAGGTGGCACCTTCATCGTCTCTTCTAAATTTCAACCCGAAACAACCAATGTCCGCCTGAGCGATGCCGAACTCGGTGTCACCCATTACTTTTGCGTGCCGCAGATGGCCGAGGCTCTTGCAGGCGCACCGAACTTCAACCCATCGTCGTGGTCAGCCTTGAAGGCGCTCTTCACAGGTGGTGCGCCCAATCCTCCAGCTAAGATCAAGTGGTGGCTGAGTCGTGGGGTCCGAATGGTGGATGGCTACGGATCGACTGAAATGGGGACTTGCTCTGGAATGCCGCTGTCGGCAGAGCTCATTAGCAGCAAGGCCGGTTCTGTGGGTCTTCCCGGCCCGTTGACGGCGGTCCGAGTTGTGGACGGAGGTGACCAGGAAGTTCCCGTCGGTGAGCCTGGTGAGATCTTGGTCTCGGGCCCGAGCGTCACGCCCGGCTATTGGAATAGACTAGACGATAACATGGCTGCCTTCACTGAAGATGGCTGGTTTCGGACGGGTGACATCGGACGGGTCGACGAGGATGGCTATGTTTTCCTTATTGACAGGCGAAAGAATATGTTCATATCCGGGGGAGAGAATGTGTATCCCGCCGAAGTCGAAGCTGCGTTAGCTGAACATCCCGGTGTGTTGAATGTTGCAGTTGTGGGCGTTCCCGATGAGCTTTGGGGCGAAGCCGGGCGTGCCTATGTCATTGTAACGCCAAACTCTCAGCTGACTCACGGCGATTTGGTCAGTCATTGCCAGTCACTGATTGCTCGGTTCAAGATCCCGAGAGAGACTGTCTTTGTTAGTAGCTTTCCTCGGACAGGGTCAGGAAAGGTGCAGAAGCATCTGTTGACCGAAGACTCTGTAGCAAGGCTTTGAAATTTGTGTTCCACTTCGTTCAAAGTCTGTGTAATGATGGCATCTTAACAGCAAGTATACCAAAAAAAAAAAAAAAAAAAAAAAGAAGAGACACTAAATTCTTCCTGAGAATCGTTCTGGAAAGCAAAAGAATGCGTCGAGGGGGAATCGAACCCCCGGCTCCCCGACGCTGCTTGATGGCAACGGAGAATTTTACCACTAAACCATCGACGCTGATGATCAACTCATGTGGGGTTGTTGATCCTGGTGGTGAGAGCATCTAGGTTGTGTGAGTTGTGGTGTTCCGATGTTGCTCGTCATCTTCAATCTTGAGAGTATCTCACAACTTTTCGATGCAATCCAGGCGGGCAGAAAAGACAAAGTAAAAATTCACAAAAGCTAAATTCCTTTCCGATCATCGGTCTCACATAATACGGATGACGGGAATCAGATTGCGGGGGCACCACCGCGGTCATCCCATGTGTGGTTCGGCACGCGGACGGCTATCTTGTGAAAGTTAGGTTGCTGACAAGGATTCGAATCCAGACCCCGTCTTACGGCGCAGGATGCACGCTGCACAACTCAGGCGCGTCAACTAAACATCAGCTTGCTATATTGAGCATCAAAGTCCGCGTCAGCCAATCGCTGGGTAACTCTAGCCAATGAAACAATCCTCATTCTGTCTACATGCTGTCGCTCTAAGACAAGCGCTTATGATGTTGACAACATCGCTATGTCACCGCGCGACCGCTAAAGAGCCCCTCTATTGAGGTTACTGGCGCCTAGTCACAATTCGGGACCTTCGCCGAAGACGCCACTTACAATCCGCTCTTCTGTGATTGTCTGCAGCAAGTCAGTTGGACATCTTCCAACTTGGAGGTTCGTATTTCCTTTTCAGGCGGCCGTGCACCCATTTTTCATCTTCACAATGTTTAATACCAGCATTTTCATCCTTCAAAGATGCCCGGCAGTGGAGCATTCTGGGGCTTGGCCCCCGATATCAACATTCAGAAGACAACCTTGGCGTTGGTCGTCGGTGTCTCACTCACATTCTACCTTCTCATCATCCACTTGACAGTACCGCCCCCAATCCCGGGCATCCCTTACAAACAGAGATGGCGATGGATGCCAGCTGGGCACCTCGCCCCCCTCGGCACTTACTGGCTCCTGAGCGGCGAGGCATTCAGCTGGTTCTCTCGGGAATCCCTCGATCTCAAGTCACCGATCGTGCAGATATTCCTCCCGACCTTCTCCCTTACGAGACCCACTGTGATTCTGGCCGACCTACCAGAGATCGAGCGAATCGCCATGAGGAAATTGGATGAGATGGACAGGGCGTCGCTCATCCACGATATGTTTGGCTTCATCATGCCGAACGCGACATTCAGTATGAAGACGAATGACAAGTTGAAGTCTCAGAGACGTCTCTGGGGCGTCGTCTCGTCATCGCAGTTCCTCCATGAAGTCGCTGCTCCCAGATTTCATGAGTCCATATCGCGACTCATCGAGTTGTGGAGGGTCAGGTCTGAAATCAACAACCATCAACCTTTCAGAGCTACAGATGACCTCAAATCAACCGCTTTAGACGCCATTGGCGCAATCTCATTGGGCTTGGACCTTGGCATGCTCCAACAAGAGATGCAAAGAGCAAACCCTAAATCTCGATTATCACTGAATAAAGGAGATCTTGAATCATGCAGGGATGGCCCGCTGTTGGTTCACTCGATGGAAATCTTGCTCCAATGTCTCAACTGGGTGACGACGAGCGCCAGTGTGCGTCTGTCGAAGTGGGTTATAGGCCATCTCTCATACTTTCGACGTGCCCAAGCTGCCGTCACAAACATCCTCAACTCTGAGATCAATGCTGCACTTCTTCACATCCAAAATCAAGATGGGAATCAGAGGCATCCGAGATGTGGCTTGCAGGAAGTCCTGAAGAGAAACTCGGTGCTCTACAGCAACCACTCAACTCAAGACGAGATAAGAGACGAGTTATTCCAATTCCTTATCTTTGGTCACGAAACAACAAGCGCCGGGCTTGGCTGGGCGTTGAAGCACCTGGCAGACAACCAGGCTGTGCAGACACGCCTGAGAAGCGCCCTCGTTGACGCTTTCGGGCTCGTTGAACCTGGTCTTCCAACTGCTTCCGATATCGCTTCAGCAGATGTGCCATACCTGGATGCATTCATTGCCGAGGTTCTTCGTGTATCGTATCCTGGTCCCGTGGCTTTTAGAGAGACGATCACTGGCTGTCAGATTCTAGGAGTCGACATCCCGGCTGGGACCCCCGTTCTCCTCGTCACAGGCGGACCCTCCCATTTACAGGAATACTACACAGCTTACGGCAATGAAAGGAAATCCAAACGTTGGGACACCAACTTTGCGCCCCTAGATCAGTTTTTGCCAGAGAGGTGGATGCGTTCCGACGGAACATTCAATGCCATTGCTGGTCCATCTTTGCCGTTCTCGACGGGTGCGAGGGGCTGTTTCGGGAGGAAGATTGCGTTGCTAGAAATGAAATTCATGATAAGTATGCTTCTTCTTAGCTTTAAGTTCCCGGAGCTTGAGGGTCGTCTGAGCACGTATGGGTCGACAGATGCCCAGATCAGACGGCCCACTCAGTGCTACGTTGAACCTATGTAGAACGTTAGTCTTTCGAGAGTAGTTGACTTTTCTCATAACAAGAGCATACCATGAGCCAGCATTTCCTTTCATTCTGTTGATGCTTTGGAATATCAAGACACGTAACAGAGGCTTCGATAGGTGCCAGCAGAATGCGTGGAGTTTGGCCGGACCGTCTAGGTATATTGGGGAGCAATGACTGCCTCAGTGGACAAACACGGACGAATAGTTTACTTATTGTACTGAATCATACTGATAGAATCAAGATGTCTGCAAGTGATCCTTCTAAATCCTCCGCGGATCCGCCTGTCCGTATTCCACCTGATTAACTACCTCCCTTTACTGCCCGAGAGGATTGCTAGGAAAGCCTGAGTGAGAATGTATAAGAAGATCAACATCAAAGGTGTTATCCAGGTAATCTGCCCAGAAAGTATCATAAAACATCTGATCAGTTGCCTGATGAAAGCTCTCTTGTCCCGGTGGTGCTTCTGGTTGAGCTGTATTGAGGCCCGCGGTTTCCGTGCCTACTTCACCAGTACTGTGGAAAGAATCCAACATAGCTGGGTTGGTTTCTTCGCCCGCGTACTGCGGGGCAAACGTCCGGTAATTTGGGCCGTGCTGCGATTCCGTCAATGTTTGCACAGTTTGTACTAACGCAATGACAAAGAGAATACCTACAATGCTGGATGTCACGTTGACTATAGACCCCTGACCAGTGAGTCTCCTCATTAGACTGACGAATGACTTTGAGATCCATAGGCGGACAGGCCAGGACTTTGACAGCTGACTCAAAGCCAGTAGGCACTGTCGTGATTTGTTTTCAGCTAGTTGTCGACGGATTGGATCTTTGCGGCAGATGACGATGGTATGGATGGAAAGGGCGCCAAACAGAGTCGGAACACTAGACACTGTCAGAAGTCGGCATTGCCAGCCGCATTTCGTCGATTCTTACAGATGGATCTGTGCAGATCTGATAGTCTCGGCGGCGAGAAGGTCTTCTGCATTACGAGTGATGGCGTCCGCCGCCATGCGAGCTTGCTTGTCTCTTTCTGCCTCTGCCGGCGTGAGGTTATCGATAGCCTTCGGTCTGAACAGGAGGATGTGGCAGTATCTATCAAGCGTCAGCTGAAAAGTTCGAATTTGAGATTAGCTGGGGTCGATTACTGGTAGGTGAACTGAACCATACTGGCCCAGAATGATGCACCGAGAGACCCATCGAGCGGCGCCGGACTCAGGTGCTCCGGCAGACTTGAATTCCAACGGCGGAGCTCTTTCTTGAGCGATTTTGCTTCATACTTCTCAATCATAGCCCGCCGTGGGCTAAACTCTGAAACGATTATATCCCCCACTGTGAAATTTCGTGTCAGGACTCAGCAAAACGGATTAAGAGGTCGCTGATCCCGACCCGAGGGCAGATGCTCACATATCGTAGTTAGCCTCGCCATTTCCATGACATATGATACGTGGTACTTGTGCTGAGCTGGAATTAGTCTTTCATCGCCGTTCTTATCAAACTCAAAGTCCTCATCGGTTAGAGGCTCTATATCGCAGTCCTCGTCACGAATTCGACATGGTCGACCGAATGCTGCAGCGGTGTGTCTATCGCGGGTCTAAGATGATGCAGTGGTCAATTTTACTTAGCTAACTAACCTCAATGTTCGAACTTACGTAGATGGCCCACCAAATCCTCTTTCTGAGTGATCGCATTCGTGGACTCAAGGCTGAGTGTGACATGCTGAAGAGCATGAGCATTCAGTGATCATCGGGAGAAAGGCAATAAGCTAATCGCAACGTACGACCTGTGCATGCCGAGGGACTGAGCCATAGTCGCGGCACAGTTGACCCAGTAACAATTGTCCTTTTGATCTTCCGGGCCAGCCCACCAGAAACCTAGAAGCAGCATAACAGCCACAAGGTTCATGTGATCACTCTCATACTCCGCATCGTAAAGAGCTTTGGCGCGAAGATAATGCGTTCTCCTTGCAGTAGCTCTATCGCTGAAGCCGGCTTCCTCAATGAGACTGTCATCGCATACAGTAAAACCGAGCAGGAAGATGGCCTGCAGGACTAAAGGCGACGCCTGGCCTTGGCGGTACTGTCGCGAGAAGCTCTCTCGGTCGAACACGGGATACGCCGGGTGCATGATCTCGAAGAAAGGGCGAATGAGTTGGTCTGCGATGTGCGGAGCCGGCATTGTGAGAGCTTCTTGAAGAGAAATTGTCTCTATGACCTTGGGCACATGATTGTAGGCCGACTGGTCTGCTATGCAAGCCGGAATAGGATAGTGGACTTTGACGGGCTCGGTTGAGCCATCTTTCGGTCTGTGGACAACTTCGACGATGTAAGACAGACTGAGATCTACTGAACATGGATGTTGTCTTTGATTCTTTTGTGTTTGGCTTGGCTGGAGTTGACCATCGTTGCTGATTTCATCGGACGTGACGGGGCTGTTAGTGAAGCTGCCGTCTTCGATGAAGACTTCGTTCGGGGCTTCTGTCTCTTGCTCGGCTGAGTCCTGATCAGTTCTCGCGGCCTGTACTTGTTGAGATTGAGCCCGAGATTGCTTTTGTTGTAAGTTGCGTTTTTTGCGGATGTATCTGGCGCGCTGTGAGCTTCCTTCAAAAGACGGCTATCATCGCGCTGGGCGTTAACACTTACTTGCCCCTCCTAGATTCTACAATTTCGCAAGGGATTTGGCGTGTTCGGCATTGCCAGCAGGGATGAGCGTCCCCTGCGTCACATTTGACCCGTCTGGACCTGCACGCTTTGCAGGCCACGCGAGCGCGGTCGCCTCCAGGCTTCAAAGCGCTCGTCGGCGGTGAACTTCCGCTCATTGCGGATATCCTAGAGTCGAATTTCCAGTCAGGCAGCACACACAATGCTCTTGATTCGCAAGTCGGCGAGGTTATTCGATGTCGAACGGTATGTTCTTTCGGAAGCAGCGCCAACTTGAAGATGCAAGAAGCCGAGGTGACTAGATTTTACTGCCGAAATGTGGGGATGCATGTCACAAAAGGCCGCGGGCTTTCGGCCTGGCTAGCATTACTCATGCGCCGCGCAGAAAATGTTGCACTGTTTTTCAAGGCGCTTTGGGGAACTAAGAACATCTAGGTTACCTCAGACTTGCCCAGCAAACGGCTATGTCATCCGGAACTTGGGAGACCGTTGATAAATCGTTACAAATTTTGTCTATCTAGAGCGCATGTGTGCGCATGCTGAAATGGCGAGGCACTGCGGATACAGGGAGGTCGAATAAGCTTAAATACAACATCGGTGCCCCCAAAACCCACGTCTATGAGTCGACTTCAATGTGAATGCGAGATGCCAAGCTGAAACCGTACCGCAGCATCGCAATAATTGAGACGAGTTTGAGGTGGATGCTCATCGCATGGTTCCTTGAGAATCGTCTTCTAACAGCAAGCATATTTGGGCTGGGCTCATCGACATCCCCAGGGCGTTTGGCATCGCGGGTTTCTTTCAAGTTCCGGGTGTTAGTTATGAGATGGGAAAATGACAGCAAGAACGTGTTGACCCGGCTCACCTTGATGAGTGCGATGAATCATCGCCTGTTTAGACCTCGGTCCGTAGACGAGCAGGTTCGCCAAGGACGGCAACCCCGCAACCACGAGCGGAATCCAGTCGCTGTTCTCCTTGAACAGGGATGCCGGGCCACGAGGGGGAAATGTGAGGGCCTGGAATAGTGACGTGCCGAGCAGGGTTCCATATGAGATGATGTGGTAGGGAGCAAGAGATGTCATGATCGAAGGTATTCCAAAAGCCATTGTGGTACTGATAGGGTGGGTGCGAATATGATTCGGATACTTGAAAGGCATTGCTCTAAACTCAACGTATCAGATTATATAGCAACGATTGATGCCGCTGAAACAAGTCTACGAGATGCGGTATTCTGCCACATCCGTAAGCTCCGAGCACCTTCGGAAAGAAAGCGGACGCCGAGTGGGGCCTGACTTTGGCCAGGGGTGGGCCCAAACCGGCAACTTTACGGCGGCCCGGATGATCCAAGCCCACGGCGAGTCAATTCAATGGAGTACGCGTGTCCAGAGGATATATTGACTCATCCGTAGGATTGAGCATCTTTCGATATCGTTTTTTTCGATATTTTGGCATGAGGTAGAAGAGTCGTATTGCGCTGATGTCTGATGGCATGACGGGCCACTTCACTGTCGCTGACGATTCGTTGGACCCGGTGGGATTTTGGATCCGAGAGGTTTCGGGTGTTTCTGGGTGACGCAAGCAAGATCGAATCAACTTAGATCAATTGGTCAGGCTTCCGAAATGTCTCTCAGGCACGCTGTCGCGGTCCGGGGTGTTATGGATGCTACCGTAATGTCAATGAGTCCACGTGTGTTCTGATTGCTTGCGCAAAATTATCATTCGGATTTCCATTAATGCGAAGGTTATTCTACCCGTGAGATGACAAGCCCCTACGTGCGATGGGAGGCTAAGTCAACTGTCTCTATATCTCAGACCTCTAACTATCCCACGCTCTATTTAACTCGAAGTCGAAGAGGTTCGCTCTTCTCCTCAGCAATCGCCGATGTCTATACTTTATCCCCAAAGGTATCTATGAGCTCTTTACGCAAGCAATGATCCATTCCCAAACATTCGAGATTCTGCTGTTATGATTTTCCCTCTATGCCTCTATTGTCATTCAATTCGTCGTCAACTCATTAATGCGCCATTACCGGTCCGCTGACCGCCTTGCCAATGTTCTTCACCCCAAATGTGCTCGCAATCATGCCAATGCCAGCGAGACCACAGCAGCACAACAAGCCAGTGTTATACTGCCGCAGATCGCTATGTCCCTTGCTGGTATCAACAGCCTGGACCACAGCTCCCGCCAGAGCAAGACTAACGCCGCTGCCAATCTGGAAAGCCGTGTTGATCATGCCGCCGCACAGACTCTTGACATTAACCGGCACCGAAGCCAGCAGTACGACAGTGATGGTGCAGTAGACGATCGTTACGCCTGCCACGCCCATTACGGTAGTCGGGAAGACGTGCTTCCAGAAGTTGAGGTCATCTTGTCGCATGAGCGCGGAGGGGATGGGCGCGATTGCACAGATGGCCATGCCTATGATGAGGAGGAGCTTGGTGTTGAAAATCTCGAGCATACGGGACATGGAGAGGCTGAAGATGAAGCCTGTTGCGCCCATGGGGAGGAACCGAAGGGCGGTCTGTCCGGCGCTGAGGTGATTGACTTCTTGTGCGATGAGAGTGGTGTAGTAGATCGTCGTCTGGTATCCTCCATATGATACTATTCAGGGGTTAGCTCATGATCTTGATGTGAAAGAGGGGTATGTGATTTACCGAATCCACCAATCCAAAGAGCAGCAAAGTTCTCGAGCTTCCATAGCGACAGGGGCATGATAGGGTTGGCGACCTTCTTCTCGACGTAGGTAAAGGCAACAATCATCGCGATACTGACAACGAGTAGCGCGATGATGAAGGCCTTGCCCCATCCATACTCACCACCACTAGAAAGCACAAAGCTGAGTAAGATGAGACCAGCAGTTGACAGGCCAGCGCCAACGAAATCGAGCTTAGGCTTTGAGTTGCCCTCAAGTCTGTCCTTGGGGAGTAGAGCCCAGCCGATGATGCCAAGAATGCTTGTAACGGCGGTGGGGATGTAGAAAATGTATCGCCAACCAAGCGACGAAGTCAAGAACCCTCCAAAGATGAGGCCAAGGCAGAAGCCGACAGCTCCGGCAGCCCCGAAGATTGTCAGTGCAAGCGTGCGATCCTTGGCGATGAAGTAGTTGCTGATGATCCCGACGGCAGAAGGTACGGTCATGGCAGCGCCAATACCTTGCAGAGCTCGGAAAATAGCAAGCTGAATGAACGAAGTCGCGAAACCATTGGCGATCGTCCAGACGCTCAGCGTAGCCATTCCGGCGCAGAAGATCAACTTTCGACCAAAGCGGTCGGCAAAAACACCGGCGAGAAGAAGAAAACCACCAAAGGTCAAGGTGTATGCTGAGATCAACCATTGCAGCTCCGCATTCTTGACCTTGAAGTCCTTCTGGATGGCGGGGAGGGCAATGTTGACGGCCGTCATGAAGATGTTGTCCATAAGCTGAGCACCACAAGTGCAGAGCAGCACGATAGCTCCTCGGAACGATGCGACGGTCCCGACGTCCGGGTAAGCCTGCCCCGCGCCGATCTCGTACTCGGCGGGCGTCTGGGTGCCGGACCCACCTCCGGGTGAAGGCGGGCCCGAGCTGACGCCGGAAACCGGGGATGGCGGCCGTGTTGATTGAGGGGTAGTGAACTGGGAAGGTACTTCGCGAATAGTGCTCACGGGACCGGGCTTCGCGGCTTTAGGGAAAGCGGGCAACTCAAAGACGTTGTCTTTGGACTCGCGCCTATCCCTTGACTTGTGCCGGCTGATGGCCGATGCGCTCTGTACAAGCTCATCGAGGTCCTCGGGATGGTCGTGGTCGAATGTCACGCGCGAAGTCTGGGAGACTGTGCTTTGGCGACGGGTGATGGGCATGCCTGGGTAACCCGCGGGAGGAACGAAAGTCGGGGCTTCCTCGAGCGCCGAGGTGCGGCGGCCGAGGGGCTCGCCGTCACCGTCCACCGAGACCCGGTGGTCGAGAGAACGCTTGTCGCGGGGCATCTTTTCGTCGTCTGTGTTGTAAGAAAAGAGTGAAAATTAGGAGGGGAAAGGAGACTATGTGGAAGAGTGTCAACCACAGGGAAATCTCTCGAAATTCATCAGCGTCTCACGATCTTGAAATACATGAAATTGCGGTGAACAGTGTAGTGTTCGTGATGGACTCGCTCCACGGAAAGGGTTGCAGTGATATCAACCTAATAAACCCTTATCAATTGGGCAGCGGCTGCAGAGTTTGCCACATGGCAGACTTTTGTCATGTTCATCTCCCTGACCTCAGGCGATTCTCATGTCGCGATGCTCCACAGGTTTCCACAGGCTTGTTTGCGCGCCAATCTCACGCCGGACAGCTCAAGCGTTCCTTGTCGTTGGCCTTTTCCCAATATTCATCGAACAAGCGCTGTTGGGTAAACTCTTAGAGCCGGGTCTAAGTGAGTGAGTGACTCGCGAGGGGCTAACCGGCGGGATGGTGCCGAAAACATCAACCCAACGGAATGAAAACTCTTAGAAGTCTTGGCATGGGGGTCCATTTCGTTGCGCCGTTGCTGTTTCTGTCTATCTGTAGGGCTGAAGAACACTAAACAATTCGATGCTTCGACGAAGAGATTTAGAATTTTAGATAGAACCGGGCAGTTTCCGCCTCCAAGATCCGTCATCGGGGCTCCACTTGCAAGACTTTCACAGGGGTCCAGACCCTTGCGCCACTTCCCGTCTCGCGCTTAACTTCCTATCCAGATGAAAGAGGCAATTCTAAGCCACGAGCCCCCGGCTCGTCAATCAATCTTGCTTCGGGATCCGTTTTCCGATCCCAGTAACTATGGACGAGTTTTTGCCCAACTTACCCCTCCGGTTCCTTCATGGCGATTTTCGGCTCCGTCATTGTGTGCTCCTTGTCGATCCGGAACCCTTCTCTTGAGCCGCCACGTCTTGGTGATTCCGGGTGCCACCTCGCCATGCGCTGCAAGGCACCCGCAGCGCATCACACCCTTATCACCGGCTAATACTACTTCCGCAACCAACAGCGGCGGCAGTCCTCAACCTGTGCCTGCTGTTATCTTCAAAGCTTGCTTACATATTTGACTTTCACATGTCCAGACTGATCCACGTTGTCTCACAGTTTTTCACCGCTCTCCATGCCAACAAGTCGTCGAAAACACCATAAACGTCTAGCTTATTGATGATTTGAATGGTGTACCAGAGCGTGTGGTTTTGCTAAGCTTCTTGGCCCATACTCTGTCGACGCGGCGTCAAGGACTCAAGATCTCCGATTAACTTTCTTAGACTGCTTGGATGGCTTGGTCGGCTTGGTCTTTTTCGGAGCATCCCGACCATAGAAGAAGATCTACCCTTCGTATGCCATATGAGAATACATCATCGTCGCAGCGTAATAGGTACCATTGTCTATTTCATGATAGGAAGGTCCGCCTGTAAACTCCAGTTTCCGTAGATCTCGAGGATGGCTTTCGTGTCTTAGGCAGCATGTTTGGTCGACTACCCTCTGCAGTAAGTCACTGCAGTCTTGGTCAATCGCGACCGAAGCCAGTAAATGCCGTCCCTAGTGTGTGATAAGTAACACCAAACACCTCGGCATTTCTCACCACTCCAGGTTCTTCTGCGATGATTTCAAGTTGCAACTACACATGAACACAATTGGACTTAACATCATGTTGATAGAGAAATCGAGGTCAAAACACGGCATTTACTTGGTCAATTCGGCTCGACTTGGTACGAACACATCCGACTTCATCGCGGCCCCACCCTCGGATACGGCCCCGCTTTAAGCGGCCGGGCCTGGGTATGCTGGCACGCCGGCTCCTGCGATTCGGAAGGCTTTTGTGTGAAAAAGGTCAGAGAAAATGAAATGATTTTCGAGTTTAGTACATAAGTAGGTTTGATTTATGAAATATTTGGTATGAAATCCCTCTGATTCAAAGCTTTTGGTAATACAAGCCGCTGGCGAAAGCTCTCCTTAGAGTCAGCCTCCTAGCCTCCCAGCCTTGGTACCTTACTCTCTGGGTACATCATCACGCAGCATACTCTCCAGCTGGACAACGCAGTCAAGTTTGAAAATCAACCATGAGCCAGTGTCCATCTCGCGACATGAGATCTCCTGGAAATTCGCTCGTCTCGCGGCAAACCAACCAATATTTCAATCGTGCAATTTCCAAGTTCGGTTGAGGCGACATGAACAAAATCCACATCAACACCGCGAGTATCGCCGATGAACTGCGTGGCCCGCGCTTCACCGGCTCCAGATTTCCGTCATTGTTTCCACCGTCGACCCGCAATTCCGAAGATTCCTACGGGATGATGATGTCAAGTTGCAGTCGAAATGCGACCGCTTTTGTGATTGAAACCCCAGAGATGAGCAGAAAAAGGTTGGAATGATTTCCACTGTTTCGGCTCCGCTGAATAGGAAAGCCGAATTATGTGAGGATGCGGGAGGAACTCGCCCACTCAACTCAGATATTGTAGGCTTTTCTGGATCTTCTTTCGGATCCTCTTTTTTCGCCAATGGCCACCCAGCAGTAACATTGCAAGTAAGCTCTTGGCAGGATATCGTCATATCTCCAATTTAACGCGAGAAACTTTCGCCTCCATCGCGGAAAATATGAAAGTTGATAAACAAGCCGAAGACCCGGGGAAGGGAGATCTGGGGCAGAGGTTCTAGATATCATTCACCATCGACTTCTGAGATGGGCTTTTCCTAATTCATATAATTTCCATTGACACCTACCACGTCCAAATCGAAGATCGAGACGCATACTGGGCGAATATTGTGACGTCGTCCTGATCTGAATCTGACGTCAAAAACCAGCGTCGTCACATCTCTCTCCTCCAGATCAAGGCCGCTATTCGTCGAAGATATCACTTCCAACATGGCCTCAGCACCTTCCAGCGACAACCCGCGGGCCTCGCGACCGAGCAATGTCGATGAGACAATCCCGACCCGAGATAGCAGTGTGACACGTGTCGATCGGAGCTTCGACAGCGAGAAACCACAACAGCCTCTAGGAGAAAAGTCCGAGGATGCGCCATCCGGGGGCTTCTTCGAAGACGGCCCGGGTCGGGACGAAGAAGCAGAGGGCACTCGCAACCGCGAAGACCTAGCTAGGGCAGAGAGTAGCAAGCAGCCTGAGTACACACCCGATGGAAAGCGTATCATCACCGAGGATGAGTGCTATCATTTACTGGGATACTCGTGGCCCGCATGGAAAAAGTGGATGCTTCTCTCCTCCATCTTTGCCGTACAAGTGTCGATGAACTTCAACACGAGTGTCTTCCCTAGCGCTGTTGCTCCTATCAGCGAGGAGTTCCATGTCAGTGAGCAAGCTGCACGTTCTGCGCAATGTGCGTTCTTAGTTCTCTACGCTTTTGGATGTGAGCTGTGGGCTCCTTGGAGTGAAGAGTTTGGACGATGGAAAATCCTGCAGTGAGTACCTCGAGGCTATTCTTATGTGGCACGACTAAGATCAAGCTAGATGCTCCTTGTTTCTTGTCAACATGTGGCAGATTCTTGCCGCACGAGCTCCCAATTTCGGCAGTATAGTCGTCGCTCGAGCCCTGGTAGGTGTCTAGATATTCTACAAGTCCCATCAAATCAATGACTGATGGTTTGTCCAGGGAGGTCTCAGCTCAGCCGGGGGTAGTGTGACACTCGGTATGGTTGCCGATCTTTATCAGCCCGAGGAACAGCAATGGGCCGTACTGTTCGTCGTCCTGTCTTCCGTTCTCGGAACGTCGGTCGGACCCGTTGCTGGGGGACCCATTCAAAAGTTCCTCCCATGGTACTGGAACCTATGGATCCAGATGATCTTTGGTGTTGTCGTCCAAGCCGTTCACTTCTTCATGCCCGAGAGCCGCTCCACGATCATCATGGACAAAGAAGCAAAGCGCCGACGCAAGTCGGGAGAAGACACAAACATATATGGGCCAAATGAGGTCAAGAAGCCTCGTCTTTCGATGCACGAGTTTGCCATCACATGGATGCGCCCCTTTGAGATGTTTCTTAGGGAGCCAATCGTTCTCTCCTGCTCTCTTCTCTCGGGGTTCTCTGATGCCCTAATCTTTACTTTCCAAGAGGGCTTTACGCCAGTCTTCAACAAGTGGGGTTTCGGAACTTTGCAAAAGGCTTGGGCATTCATCCCCATCAACATCGGCTACATCCTCGCATACATCTCCTATGTGCCATGGATCATCAGAGACCACCGTGTTATCAAGGCGAAGGGTCCTGACGCACTCGTCCCTGAGCGCCGCTTGAAGTGGTTGTTGTACCTTGCTCCTCTCGAGACTATCGGTCTCTTTGGCTTCGCTTGGACATCCATGGGCCCTCCTGAGTCTCACTGGATCGCGCCCATGATCTTCTCATGCCTCATCGCCATTGCCAATTTTGCCATCTACATGAGCACGGTTGATTACATGATCGCTGCATATGGCCCCTACTCTGCGTCTGCTACTGGTGGTAACGGTTTTGCACGAGATTTCCTCGCTGGAATCGCAGCGATGTACTCAACTCCGTTGTATGAGAATATCGGAAGCTCACGTCACACGGAGTACGCAAGCACCGTGCTTGCGTGTCTTGCTTTCATGGTCACTATCCCAGTGTACCTTATCTACTGGAAGGGTCCCGTTATTCGAGAGAGATCCAAGTTCGCTCAGTCTTTAGATGCCGATCGACGTTCCAAGGGTGGACGTCGCGTCGTTGAAGCTCCTGAGGAGCAATTGGAGCCCAAGAACCTTTGAAGGAGCTAGTAAGATACGTTGTGTCGGTTTGAGGGCTCACAATTGAATGCTACTAAGGCAATCATGGGAAGTAGATTTATATGAGCACGGATTGCATAAGTAGACATGTCGCCAATGACGGGTATATCCATAATGATAAGATACCAATTTACCATATTCTCAATTGTACTACTCATTCGCGTGAGCGGACTCCAAGATTTGCGTCTCCTCGTTGGCCAAGCTGAAAAGGTCCCAATAATATGTGGTGATTTATTGCCATCTTCTAAGCATCAACTGTGCTATATACCCCAGACGCCGGCCTCTATAGAACATCCGATACAAAAGTCACAGTTTATCCCATGCCATCTATGCCTCAACACCAATGGTGATGTAGGCGAGCATGCCCTTGGTGACGTCCTCGCCATCGAGAGGCTCAACAACCATGTTGGGGTTCCAGTTGCCCTTGCTCTCATCAGCAAAGATGCTGTCAATGTCGTTAGTGGTGCGGTTGATCTCGGTGTGGCTGACGTAGGGCTCGAGGGCCATGATCTGCTGGCTAAGGGGCTCGTCGAAGAAGAGCTGGCCGGTGCTGACAATGTTGGAGGCGACGACGGTGCCGTTGCTGCGGACGGACCAGTCGGTGTGAACCTGGGCGTGGATGTGGATGGTGCGCTCGACGTAGAAACCGGGGAAGACTGTCTTCATCTCCATGATACCGTTGGAGTCGGTGGGCCAGATACCGCGGAGCCAGGTGGTGGCGTCGGTGTGCAGGTCCAGATCAGGGCCGATGGTGACGTTAAGCTGGTCGAGGAGCTCTTCGAAAGGAGTGTCGGGGCTGTGGCCCGTGAACGAGCTGTAAGATCCGGTCTGTGCGCAATCGCGTTAGTCGAAGTTTCGAGCTTAAAATCTTCAGATTCACTTACAGCATTGCAATGCCAGAGATCCTAATCACGGTTAGCGTTCGAGGTCAATATTCGGCTCAGAATGGGGTTCGTACGACTAAGACGTCACTCATAATTTCGCAAGTGTTGACGTTGAGGACACCAATGTCCAAGTAGAGAGGAACACCGGCTTGGCCTTCGCTCATGTCCTGGCGCAGGGTTTGAGACTGGGGCCAAACATAGGGTCCCTTGGTGACCTCAGGGGTCAGGACGCAAGTATCGTTCTGAAGGGTTTTGTAGTGGGGGCCCTCAGTGTGAATAGTGACATTGCTGTCGCGCTGGACGAGAGAGCGGCTAACGAGCGAGCGCTTCTCGGCCTGACGCTTCCTGCGAACCTCCTGGAACTGACCGGACTGCACCGAGCAACGCTTGGCGAGGTTGGAGCGGCGGGCAATCTCCGAGTGGCTCAGAGTGTGGTCATGGCCCGGGTGGGCAACGGCCACTCCCGTGAGGAGCGCAGAAGCGAGAGCAAGGAGTTGGAACTGCATTGTGGAGGTTGAAAGAGAGTGTTAGTCAAGAAAGAGTGTTGTAAAGACTGTTCAACGAGAGAATGTCGAGGACCTGTTGTTAAAGTCAAGCTACCGATATCTAAGCTGCTGATCAAGCCAGAACTGACCAACAACACGGGAGACGATCCTGCATTTATACGTTCATCTCTTCTTTCGATTGTTCTTCACCTTCCACGAATAGACGAAAATATCATCTTCCCTGCTTCGTCCCGTTTGACCCCTGACGAGGATCCAGAAAACAAGTTCATCTCATCAGGACGTTTCTTTTGTCAGCCATTGCCCCTCTCTCATCACGCTCAGATCCGTGAAACTGCCAAACCGAGCTGCAGTCCACCTTTCACGATCTCCAGTTCTCCACTGACGTCGGGTTCGCGACACAGGTCTCTCCCACATCCCGAAGAACCACGCTCTGATCAATTCCCCATTCGGCAGTTCGTCGCATAGTAAAAGGCACCCCGCCAATCATGGCCCAGATATTACGGTTGACTTCCGGGGTCCGAAGCCCCCAAGCCGCACCCGGACGCCATCCCCGGCGGGCCGCCAAGAGTCCTGGCCGCGTAAGTTCAGGGGCGGTCCGCCTGGTCACTGCACCTTGAATCAACCTTGACCAAGCATAATCAGTGGAGGGCTTGGGGGACCGATGAGAGCCGCGGTTGACCCGAGCCGAAAAATCACTGATGTGGTCTCGCCGATGTTGTCATGGGTGTGGATAGGAGATTTTCGTCTTGGCGAAATGCCATTGCCAGATCCGCATCTATTACAACCCAAGACCGGAATGCGGGCGTCAAAAAAATCGGAAGCTGTCCCATTCGACAGTTACCAAAAGTTCTTCAATCTAGAAGGTGCATCAACTAGAGCCTTCGCTTGTTGAAAACTGCTGACGAAGTGGTTGCGAATTTTCCAGAGTCCAGACTACTTTCGGTGAGTGACCCCTGGAGTTGCGGCAGTGTATTATGCAGCAGTACCGAGCGGCGCGTCGGATTTGAGCCGACGCGGTGCGATGTCAACAGCCTTAAGAGCCCTTTCTAGCTTCTAAACTCTTGGCAGACAATCTTCCAAGGGGCATGTCCCCCCAGAGCCTGCGGCCTGCCTACCTTACCTAAGATGACTTCGCAAGCATCGTAGTTGCAACTAGAAAAGTTGAAGTCCGCAAGAATAATGGTACGACGTATGTTATTTTTCTAACAACTTCAGAACAGACTGGACACTTTTCCTCAACTCTCGCCAACCCACAAGAGCATTTCTATGGGGCAGGGAATCTCAAGGAGGGCCCGGCGGAGCCAAGAGGCGAATTCAGGGCAACACGACTCATATAGTTGCCGTAGAATCAAGCACAGCATCCACTCGTGCGCATTTCTTTTCATAGTTACGTCAGTATCTGCCAAGAGACTTGACTCGGGACCCGGAATCTCCTGCCATCTAAGTTAGGAAAGTCACATCTTTTTCGTCCCGGAGTCCGCGGTGCGGCGGCAGTTGCTGTGATATTCTGAAGGTTTCCAAGCCCTCAATAGCTGTCTATTTCCGCGGAGGCTTTGCACTGATATAACATGGAGACCGGCGATTCCACCTCTGAATTACTAATAATGTCGAAAGAGACGCTTGAAATTGCTATCCAAGAGTTTTAACTTGTCGAGGGTTCGACGAAAATCATCGAATTCTTTGCCAGTTCAAGATATCTTCAAGGTTTTGCTTACGGAAGATATCCGTTAACTCACATGCGAAGCTAGCTTTGGGCTCCTAATATATGCCAGTCCCACTTTTCTTCAGATGTCGGGGAGACAGTGCCATGAATTAGAGTTGTATTGTCCAACCTATCGGCGTATCCTTTTGACTGGATCGTTTTTGCCTGTTGCTGATTCTCGACGTTTGCCCACATCCCTCTCACAGGGATCCGAGCTGGGCATTGTCCCTGAATAGCCATCCACTTGACCCATGTCCAAAGACACCATAAAAGATGGCCAATTGTGTGTGAACAATTTCTAAACACTTAAGTAAAATGGAATGACTCCAGGGTCCATGCCAGTCCAGATAAATGGCATGCCCTGACTTAAGCCCTCGCCATCAAACCGTCGCCCGCTGATCTCCCTACTAATACTACCCATCTCTTTCATAAACCGGTCGTTTGCCAACGAAACAGCCTTCTTGGTTCCGGCGAGAAGACTTTCGGCGTTGAACATGTACCGTAGAGTCTGATTCTTCTCCACAACCTGTGGCCTGTTGAATCGTGCAAGGAGAGTGATCTGGTCAACTGACCTTTGCTCGTTGGGGAGCCAAGGAAGAAGGCTTTCGATACGTCCCTTCTTGGTAGGAACAGGTGCGTACAGAGAAAGGGGGTGAAGTGGCAGCACGCCAGACGCCGTCACAGGCTCACCTTGATTCAGGACGTGGTGCGACACACCCGTCAGCCATGCCATGTGGGTCAAAATGTCAATGAGCTGCTTCCTGCTTCTCAGGGGCGCTGATGGAAAGTCGATGACCTTTGCAGGACCGTTGGATTCGTCAATCCAGGCTTGCAATTCCCAATCCTTAGCTATCATTCGATCAGACGTGTAAGTTGCCTCAACGAAACTTTCAATGAATTTCCGAATGACTCCAATAATCTTTTTCCCATCTTCGTAAAAGGGGAAATGAGGAAGTTTCGGGCCGAAGGAAGACTTTAGTAGATCACGTGATTGGAGGTTATCCTCGAAGTAATTCTTCTGGAACGGGCCGGCGACAGTCGGATAAAACTCTGCACCAAATCGGCGTACGGCTGCATTTGAGAAGGCGAAATTCTGATCAAAGAAACCGCCCGGGTTGAAGAGTACTCTGTCGCCTATGGGGCGTATGGCGTAAGCCTGGTACATGAGCCTTTCCAGGAGGTTGAGGACAGGATGACGGCTGCTGAGCGTGCGAAGGGCAGCTAGATAGACTATCTCAGCGACGTCATGGGAGTTAAGGAGATGATAGACTTGGCCGTGGAAAAAGTCGTTGACGTTGAACATGACTTTGGCCAGCAGCCACTCATTGGCTGTGTCCAAGGGGGTGTATGTCAGATCAGCGCCGACATTGGTCTTGATGGCTAGGGGAAGAAAGTGGTCGGAGCGCTTGTCAAGGTAGAAGAGCGCTTGACACGCGGCCGAGTATCGGCCCTGCTGGGCGACGTATTTTTTCTGATAACTGTGGTCGGCCAAGAATAGACGACCGTCCTTATGAATTGACTCGAGAGTAGTTCCAGTGATCTTCCTGACTGTCTTGTCGTCAAGCGGGACCAGGATTTTGTCCTTTTTGTAGTTCAGACGGCGAATGACGTAAGGATTGGTCGATAGTCGCTCCATAGCAAACAGAAGATCTGAGGTAAAGTTGCTGAACTGGCCTTTGGCGATGCCGCCAGGAACCGATCTAGACCAGTGACCATCGTAAAGGACCTTGTAGTCCTCAAGGCCCTTGAGGCCACCATGCTTAAAGCGCAGATATTAGTCGATCAACTATTTGCATCGATGAAACAAAATTGAGTTACCTTGGTTATGTCCTCAAGCGCCGCAGCACTTTCACTGATCGCATATTGAGCGACAGGTTCCGAATCCTTCAACCACAAGCTCTGATCGCGCAATGAGATCTGGGTTCCCAACGACCCATTGGGGAAAAAGGATGTATCTCCTATCAGTGGTTCTCCGTAAATGATACCCTGTTGTTTGAGTTTGATCTCATCTGCCCTTGACGAGAAATCGCTGTCTTCGTTGGGTAAAGTGTATTGAGTCGGAACTGGCGTCTGTGTAGACACAGGCGCCGAACTGAGAGCAGCCGTGGCGGGAGGTGAATGGCTGCTTAGTGCGTTGGCACTAGCGATTGCCATCAACGTGCTGAAGGTGAAAGGACGGGTCATTTCTGCGATTCACATGGGAAGTCTATTGAACTTTGGGTGCCACAGTAATAGCTGAAGTGATGGATTGCAATGCTGTTGCCGAAGATGAAGGCAATTAGACTCACTTCAGCCTTCAAGCCTAGCCAGCTTCCAATAAGTAATTATACAACACGAAGTCAGTCATCTTGAGCCAGTACTCGCGCGAGAGAAAATTCCAAAAGGGCCATATTCAGTTTCCATTGTACATTGCAACGCCATCTTACGCCGATCATTGCTGACCGTTCCGCACAGCTGATCCAGTTGCCGTGTCGCATACTACCGTGTGGCTTGTGCAACAGCAACCCGCATATCCTCACCCGAATGTCTCAATATATCGATTGATCCCCCATTCATCGCCCGGCATTGTGCATCACATAGATAATGGGTGCTACTTGCCTAAGACTATGCTCTTCGGGCTGTAGAGGTTGCCTGCATCATGGCATCAAACTTTTGCCTTCCTACTCGGCCTTTGGACGCAATGACTGAGGTCAAGCCGCAATGCACTTGATGAGTTTGCCAAGTACTTGCAGACCACTTCATACTACAAGCAGTAATGCGACAATATCTGAGCAGAACGACATGCACCTTCGACTCATCACTGCTTCTGGGCTCTGATTGAAGTAAAAACTGCCCACTCAAGTAAGAGACAAGTCAAATGTGCGTTATGGGATCGCGGTGTACTATATTAGTAGAGCATGATGTCAGTGATGACCACGTCAGCTGAGTTTGAGCATCTCGTTGTTTCTAAGAGGCTTCACATGCGAAACTGTAGTCAGTGCTGAATGGTGACATGGGACAGATTAAATTCTTTCAAACAGGCTGCCTCACTCCAAGACTGTCAACGACCCAGTCTTTGGATGTCACAAGCCTGGCTTACAACGTACTTAGATGACTGCTCTTTGGACCCTCCTGATTCAGATTCAGAGCTTTGACTGCCTTTTTGGAGGATTTGCCTTCTCCCAAGCCGCAGCCGTCTCCTTCATCTTCTGACACTTGACTGCAAGCGCTTCATGCAGGTCTCTGTAGACACCTCCAATATCCATCAGATTGGCAATATTCCCTTTGCGGTAGTCGAAGAAGACCACCCATCCCGAAGACTCGGCCGCGGGTGCCTGCTGCTGAAGCGACCACATGGTGGCCGTGATGAAGTAGCGACTAGCGATCGGGTCTGACCTCGCCCAGACGAGTGGCACAGATTATCTAAGACAAGGCTTGTTAGACGGGGTAACATGACATGAAGACATTTACCGTGCGACAGGATAGCAGACTGAAAGTGAAAGGCATGAATCGAGGCACGAGACTAACCGAGTCTGGATAAGATACGGGCCTTTTGATGTTGACCGTCAACTGCTTCACGATGACCCCAATCCCTGTCGCATTCAGCAGTTCGTCCACCTTATCGCCAAGCTGCGCCTCAAAGCTCTCGAACATGCGAAAGCTGCATGTGGATGCAAAGTGCGAGAATCCCGCGTTCATGATGTGGCCAAATGGATCTTGGTCGTCTGCCCATGTCACTCCCTTTGCAAGAGTATCATGTGTTAGCAAACACAAATTGAGCGTACAGATTCAGTTGTAGCTACGTACATGCTCGATCATGGTGGCCTCATCATACCCTTGCTTGATGAGCTTCTTTACAAGGCTTTCCCGCCGGGCCGCGTACGCTGAGCCGCCACCGGGTGCGTGGCAGGATGACGCCTCTAGGCGCGAGCTAAATATCTTGCGAGACATTGTTGTTATGGATCTTCTGGTTGTGCTTGGCGGATGAAGATGCGTTGACTGGATTATGCGGGTTGTCACAGGATGGCGGAGACGTGGGAGGCAGGTTGAGTACCTTGGTTTGCCTGATAGCCAGATGTCGCAAGATGACTGATTAATTGAGGTAGGCTGTAAAATTCATGCCATGTGATTCATTGTTCACTGATGCCACAATCTTTTGGAAAGAGGATTAAAACCTTTGTGTCACTCCCTGTTCTGCCGTCAGTTTACCACAGGACATTAGCCCGAAACCGGATTTAATGCGAGTCCATAGGGCTAAGGATGTGTTTTCACTCTTGTTCAGCAACGCTGGGACTTCCTTCCAACGGCATTGATTTGAATAAACTCAACAAATTGACCGCGTTCTCGAGTGTGGATGAATCATATGTAGCCTGCATTCAGGTACAGAAAGATCTATTAGCCGGTAGCGAAAACGAAAGACGTATTCCGTGCTATGCCATTTCAGCTGCATAAAGAGAGAAAAATGCTTGGTAAATTGCAGTCATCTAATTCTAGGCTCTCATTCATCTTCAATGTGCACGAAGGGACTTGAGAAGACTTCAAATCAAAGACCTTGGTTTCTACGAAGTTCTAAAATTTCGCATAAAGGCTTGGTAGGGTGAGACATCATCTTCACTGCGTCCTAAAATCAAGCTCTTTCTGGCGATGAGCCTCAAGGTCATTTAAAGTTTGGCAATGAGTATGATGCGGGCCTGCATCGTCTCCAATTGAAACAACGATTCCGTCCAGTCCGAACATGGTATACTTGATCAGACCAGAACATCAATGATGAAGCTTATGATTGATATGATCCACGCTGAGGATCAAGGGGGTGTACGATCTAAAGCTCCAGACGCCATTTCAGATCTGAATATTGTTAGTTCAGGTTCAAAATATCTGGTGAGTGTGAACCTGAGACCGGTCGAGAGGATCTTCGCGGCTCGCCGATGTCTCGGAAAGGCAGATATAAGTAAAGTAACTACATATGAAGCTGTTGTCACATGTACACATTGTATAACACGTGTGGTGTTAAAGGAACTTGTGAAATAGTTCATACTATTTATGAAAAGGAGTCAAGCAATAAATATCCATGACTTAGGCTTCCTAGGTCGTGTCTTCTAATGCCCCTGTTGGTCATTATTGATAAGGTAGCTGAAATACAGAAGGCGGTAGTTGACCAATTGCCAGTCTTCAGGGGAGAGAATTTCTTTTCATCGTGGCTCATATCCCCTATAGATCTCATGGCCCACGCATTTATATTCCTTGTTCACGGTGCCAAATCTATTATCTGTGGCCCGAAACGCCGAGGAATAATCGATGAAATGACCTATTTGCGTGCCAGTAGAAGGGACGGCCCGCTGGATGTGCACGTCAAGCCATCAAAGTCCGGCATCTTCCCATGAAGCATCAGTGTGAGTAGTTGCTGGCCATCCATGCTTCCATCTTGCACAATTTCGCTAAATTCGAACCCTTCTCGCGGCCATTCAGACTTATCCCCGAGCAAAAGCTTTGGTGCCGCTATCGGACAATAGGTTGACCCAGCCCAGAACTTCGACAGGGAGGTTGAGCCTAGAACTTTTTGAGCACCCTCAATGACGAAAGTCAGGATAGTCGCGTCGTTGACTTCAAAAAAAAAGTTTCCCCTGACGACCCAGGGAAATCTTCTTCCGAGATGATGCCGACCCCGATTGTTCCCCGCCTAATGGAAACAATATACTTTTGACCCTTGAAGTCTTCCATTACCTTTGCCGATAAGAAGGAGCCAATGGCCTTCACTATATTTGACCACACTCGCAATTGTTGTTCCTCATCGTCCGGAATCTGGGAGACGTCTTCCTGCTGTGTGACGACCTCTAGCGCGTGAAACAAAAGACAACGCGATGCCGTTGAGACCTCCCTTAGGCAGGCTAGCGGAACTGGTCGGGTTGTATTATCATCCGCCCTTTGTCGGGAAGTAGAATGTTTTCTCAATATTCGTTGAATCATTGAAAGCCGATAAGCATCGCCTTCTTGTAACACCCGCCGGTCAATGATTGTAATACCTTCACACCCGCCTCGCAGGGCAAGTGTGTCCACCCTGGTCACTTCGTCAACACCTGCAGTCGCTGCTTGTAGTGCCTCCTCGGCCCAGTCGGCAAAGTCAAATTCCCAAAACGCCGCTGCTAGAAAACAGTGGTGCAACTCTCCTAAACGTGGCATCGCCAAATCCAAGCCTATGATCTCGAGACATTGATATGTGAACGACAACAGATTGTATACAGTTAGTCGTGATGAAACCTTGGCCAGATCATGGTAGGGAACAAAGCTTGGGCTTGACCGTTGGGGTACCTCGGAATTGTTGGTTGGTGGACAAATGGTGTTGTTAGTGGACGTAGTGGATGGTGTACCTGATCTACTGAAGATACGCCGTAAAATTAGGTCGGTCTTGATCACTCGTGAAATAAGATCATCTTGTTTCGGGACATAGGCGCCAAAAATTTTGTTGCCCTCCTCGCTGCAAATGAAATCGATAGCTGTCCGATGTGTGAAACGAATGCCTGTTTTGCCCCAAGGCTGAAGTCTGCTCTCGTAGGTCTTGTGCGAGGAGACAGCTTCTTCAGGCTCAGTTATGTCCAGTAGTCCGGCACACATTGCTGGTAATGCCCTCCCTAATCGATGCCACTTTTGCCAGAGTAGTTGCGTATCGGGTATCTCGTGCCGGGACATGCAGGACTCCAGTATCTCATCATCTGTAGAAATCAGGAGACCGAGAAGGCTGTCTGCACAACGCCAGATATTTAGACCGCTAGGGTTTGCCTTAATTTCCATGGCCATGTAAAATAGCAAGACTGATTTCCTGCGATATAGGTCGCTGTCTTCTTTCATTCTAGACCACATTTCCTTATACAGCTTCGTTAGGTCTTTGGGGAGTGACTCCACGCGACTGTAAAGAGTGCCCAAATCATCGTAGTTGGCAAGGCCTCGTTGGAGACTACTCAAAACAAGAATTACCCAGATAAAAACTCCTTCGGCTTTTTCGCAGATAAGTCTGGACAAATTGTCGATCGTGTTGTTGTCAAGGTCAATTCTCATGGCCTCAATCCGGTCTTGCGTAAGCAAGTGAATATCTCGATTGGTCAGATCATGGATCTTGAGCATCGGGTGTTTTTCGAGTATCCGCTTCAATTCTGGCTCGGGGCGGCTAGATACACAGATTTTGGCTTGATTTGTAGCGGCCAGATCGTCAATGAGGCTTAGAAGTCGGGGTATCGGCAACTTCATCCAAGCCATCCAAAAGCATCAAATATGTGCAAGCCGAACTTCCTATCACGTCCAAAAGGGGTTTCTCAAGTTCTTGTGCAGTCCAGTCGGTGTCTGCGTCTTTCGTTGATAGATTCGGCTGTCTCTCTGAAATTTCCTTTGCACTGCTCTTGTCTTTGACCAGAACTTGATGAAGTAGAGAGCAGAGTAGCCCTTTGATACTGTTCTGCATCAAGGTACCGGGTTTCCATAGATAGTGAGAGATGAAATGAGTTGTTGGGTCGGAATATTCCATGATCTTGTCGCTTGTCTCGATGTATTTCATTAGTGTGCTTTTCCCCGATCCGGGTTTACCACTAATCCAGTAGTTATATTTTACGACTGTCGTCTCTTATCCAGTCGGCGAAGCTATCCCACGAATGATTCGACTTCGACCCTCGGGGACAGCTGGCGCTTCCGGAACTTTCTGGTGACTCCTCTGACTTCTCTGGCGTGGTATTCGACGAGTCTCTGTTGGCAGGCCCATCGCTGTACTGGTTGCTAGAAAAGAATTTACCGAGTTTTTGGAGCCCAAGTCACTAAAGTCTATCGAACTTTTGAAGATCCATTGGAAGGTTTCCGGATGTGTTTGCGAGATGTCACTTCTCCGTTCATTCATTCCGGAATATTTTAGACTCTTCAAAAGCTGCTGATAAGTCTTCTCTTTTGCCTCCGAGTCCTCTTTAGACATCATCCTTTGTGAAAGGGCATCCTGCACACCCTGAGCTGATAATGAAACATGGTTTTTGAGAGACACCTCATGACTAGCCAATTCGACGGACGTATGGGACCTGATTGCCTCCTGCATCTTTGAGGATTCCACGCTGACGTGATCGTGCATCTCCCTCGCTTGTCTCTCGATGCCATTTCGAAGAATGCTAGTAGCCTTCGCATAATCTGCAACGAATTGTCTAAGCTCTTGACTCAGATCCGAGAAGCCTTTCTCGTTCATTTTATAGAGTGCATCTGCTTTAGCGAAATGACACTCGAGAATCGACGTGTCCATGAGCTTCTGCGCGGCATCTAAGTTGCGTCTAAGCCGGTCAAGTCTCTTTTTCCGCCAGAGGATCTTTGGTGCAGCGACCAATGCCCCGGGTCTGCCGGGCTGAGTAGAAGAGAGAAATTTCATTTCTTCCTCCAGGTCTCTGGCATCCTTAATGCACTTTGCGGCAAGGTCTAGGAGGCGCTTCTCCATTGTTGGTGCCTTGGCAGCGGCAGCGGCCGCGGCAGCGGCAGTGGGTGCGGGCGCCGGTCGTTTGCTCAATGACTCTATCAAACCATCGCAGACGAGTTTGAGGCTCTCGGCGTGTTCGGTCAGACCAGGTTCCGGCGAACCGCTCTCGTGGATCCGTCGACACATTGAGATGGCCTCATGACCAAAGCTGACGAGCTGCATGAGGTTGCAGGCGAGGCCCAGGCTCGCGATGCCTTCAAGGCCGGACATGGCGTGCCGTTTCTCGTAGACGGACTGGTAGGTAAAGTCGATTGAATCGAGTGGGAAAGGTCTTCGTAGCTGAGCAGTCAATGGGATCAGTTCCGGTGATCCTCGTTGGGGGAGGTGCTCAACACGAGGGCGAGGGTGGAATTGTTGATGGCGAAACCAGCCAGGTAGAATGATGGGGTGGAAAGGGCAAGATGCAGATGGCGGTGATGTTGAGGGGCAAGTTGTTGGGGTGCGTTGCTTGCTTGGTAAGACGCAGCCTGATTGTGATATGGCAAGTTCGACTTCATTGGAGGAACCGCGCCACCCTGGTGATCTGACGGGCATTCAGATGCACCCTATCAAGTCCAGTTTCAATTTCAATTACAAGTTCATGTTCAAGTTCACATTCAAGTTCAAGTTCAACTTCACGCTCAAGTTCAAGTTCAAGTTACTCATGCATTGCGAGACTGGATCCGTTGAGTTGCACTGCAAGTATCCACCTTGAGAGACTCGCAGGCGGAGATTTCAATGAATAGCTCTAAGCTTCATTATACATCTAATCGAATATTACTCCAGGTGACATCAACCCGGCCAGCAAATAGGTACACCAAACGCCAGATATTCCATGCCTCCCGTCTACCGCAATGACGTGACTCTTTCCTCATCTACTTTCTCGAATGCACCATCCGCCCCTTGACCCAAACCATCTTGGTATTTCGATCATCCCCATTAAACACCCACTTCGCAACCCGATTCTCCCAACTCTCCCACCCAAACACATCAACATTCCCATCCTCCTCCTGTTCCCCATCCTCATCAACAACAGGCAACCCAATAAGCTGCGCATCCCACTGCAAGCCCACCTCAAAACCGCCAATCTTCCCACCCAACCCAACAACCTTGGCACCGCCCCGCGTACCCAGATACAACACCTCCTCGACTGTCAACTTGGCCCTCTCCTTCTCCTCCCCCTGCAGTCCCATCGCAACATGCCTCGACACCAAAGCAGCCTGTCTCGCCGCCTCGAGTATACTAGGACTATACCCGCCACTCATATCCGTCCCCAACCCGACGTCAATCCTCTTATCCCACAGCCACCTCACCCGCGCCGCACCGCTCGTGATGGAGCTGTTACTACACGGACAATGCGAGACCTTGGACCCCCGCTCCGCAATCGTATCCGCCTCCTTCTCCGATAAATGGATCGCATGCGCGAGCACCATCTTCTCCCCCAACAGGCCGTGTTGGTCATACACATCCGTATAACTCTCCGCCTCGGGAAACAACTCCTTCACAAGCTCAATCTCCCCCTCATTCTCCGAAATATGCGTCTGCGCAAGAACATCTAACTCCCGCTGCATATCCGCCAACCCCCTCATCGCGTCCCCCGAACAAGCCGGCGCAAACCGCGGCGTCAGCACCGGCGCAACGAGCTCGAAGCGCGGATCAATCTTTCGAATATACTCCACGCTCTCCCTCGTTCTGCGCAGCGAATCGGCCGCGGACTCGTCCTTGTAGTACTCCGGGCACAACCCCTCGCGGTCCATGCACACCCTTCCCACAAATGCGCGCTGGCCGAGGGCGAGGCAGATGTCGGCGAGGAGGTTCGTTGCAGCGACGTCGATTGTGGCGTAGTATGCCGATGTGGTGGTGCCGTGGGCGAGGGTGCGTTTGACGCAGGCCGTGTAGACGCGTTTAGCCTTTTTCTGGTCGGCGAGGGAGGATTCGAGGGGGAAGGTGTAGGTGTTTAGCCAGTCGAGGAGGGTTGATTTGCCAAAGATGCCGACATTTGGGTATTGGGATGCGTGGACGTGGGTGTCTGGTGGGGTTTCGTTAGCTCTGGTTACGACGGGAGTGTCTCACTACGGGCGGAGGAAGCATCCCGAGACAGACGATCTGGTCCCCAGACGGATCGGAGTAGAAACTCACCAATGAACCCAGGAAAGAAAAATTGCCCCTCTTTGCCGACACAAATCTCGACATCGCCAACGCTCCATCCCAAGCGCGGCAGAACTTCCGCCTCGGCTCTCTCCAAGTCACAACCGGTCTCGACAGCGACGATTGTTCCCGCGGCATCGACGCAGACGGCCGCATCGTGGAGGTACTCGAGCTGCTCCTTTGTCTTGGAGTGGATGAAGGAGCCGAGGAAGAGCTTGTTGCGCAGCTGCGACTGCGCTTGCGTGGGAGTAGGAGTCTCCGTTGCTGCTGTGCCGGCGGCGGCGGGTGGTAGGTCCCGGATCATGTCGCCCATTATGTTGCTACTTTACGTCTCTTGACTGGGGCGTTTAAGATCCTCTGGAGAATAGGGTTCGGAATTGTAGGTTGAGTGGTGAAGTCGTTTGCAGGTTGTCGTGACGTCGGGATAATCTGTCGCAGTCTTCGGTTGTCGTCGGCAGAGTCGGCGGTTGAAAAGAAACCCCCACCACGATTCAATGCTCTCTCTCACTTTCTCTTTGTCTCCGTAACGTCCAGTCCTCGTGCTCCAGGTGCGCAGGTGATCGCTACAGCTGACAATTTTCTCTCACCGAGACTACCACAAATAAGACCACCGGAATGGTAATTGCTGGGTCAATGCCCTCAAAGGATTGTAGTCACGGGATGAAAAGTTGCAAATGGTAGGTAGTACGGAAGGATGCGGTAATGTAAGGCAGAGAGTGTTGAAAGATGGGTATCGTCTCTTCGGTTCAAGTTTCCCAAAACCCCTCTCTTCAAAAGCAAAAAGACAAGCGGAGGGGAAAGAAAAGGAAGGGAAGGGGAACACGGTAAATTTATGCAGTGCAACAGATGACGCGCAGCCCAAGAAAGCATGTGCTTCATCCTTTTTTGTCAAGGTAAGGTAGTCCGCTCCCCAGGCGGCCGTCTCCTTCCACGTTCGGGTCTCCCCAGTGCTGCTCCCCAATTTACCCCTCCAAGAGATAAGAAGCGGAATACGGAGACGGACTGACAGGGGATAGCCCCATGGAGGGGATCCAGCTCGACGGGACTGTCAAAGCAAAGAAGCTTTCCTTTCCTAGTGTAGCTTGCTTCCAACGACTAAACCAACAACAGCAACCATGGACAAACTACGCATCTAGTCAAAAAGTCTAGAATCGGATTCGTTGGGTTACAATTGCACACCAATCTTCTCGAGGTACGGACGGTGACGGGGACCCCAAACACCACCGCCTGCCCGCCAATGCGCGCCCCGCCCCCCACTTCGCAACGCACCGGCCGCACGTCGCACGGCGCTCGCCGCTGGCCGACCGCAGCTCCAGTCTCACTCCCAAAATCCCATTCTCCCCACGCGCGCCTCGGCTTGACTCCATCCGGATAGCTTCCCAGACATCCCAATGTTCCCATAGCTCATCCCCAAAGCCACATTCCCCCGTCCGTCAACTTTTTCCCCTCGTTCCATTCAAGCCACCGCCAGACAAGTTCGATAAGCATCCTTTGTTCGTCAGGGCGGCACTCTTGGGACACTCTCGGATACGGTAGGTATCCCAGGACCACATGGTCCTCCACCGCCATCCCGTCTTCTATCCAAAATTACCTCGACGCGGGTAGTCAAACCCGTCCCGTCCATCCGCCCGCATGCTGCGCCATTCGGGAGAAGCATCTGTGTTCCGGGTCCTTGCAGTCATTCTTCGTAGATCCCCCGCTGTCAAAATAGCTGCTGTGCTTGCCTACTGCCACTAGTTCTCCAGTCATCAGTCGTTGTATCACCCTCTGCCTTGTTTGCCCGTCAGACAAAGCAGTGCCATCGGGCATTTTATCACACGCCTCTCGGAAACTTTACCGGGTACACAGCTTGTTGAACTTTAGTTGCTCTATTCTCTTCTTGTGCCACAATTTAATAACTCTAGAATAATAAACGCCCCAAGCAAATATTGACCAAACAAAAAGCTCTCTAAACGCAGCATGATAAAACAGTCATCAATAAACAACATCCCTAATGTGTACAACGCTTACGCCGTCTAGAGTCATTCAATGCCCCCACCAGGAATCATCTTCATTCCTCTGCCTTTTTGTCATTCGTTATACCGTAACCCGATTTCTCTTCCTCCTTGCAGTTGCACACACAGCTTATGCCGCGGCGCCGGGGCCCTCGTGCTCACCAGCAAGGCCGTTGACTCCGTTGGGGCCAGGGCCGTCCTGGGTGAACTGATCCCAGTTCGCCAAGATTTGAGCAATCTTGGGCGAGTTGGTCAGCTTGTAAACATCCTCAAAGTACTCCTTGGTGATGGCGAAAGGCTTCGCCGTCACGTTGGGGATGTATTTGCCAACAAGCTTGGCAGGGTCGATCGTCGTCTTGTTGATCTTCTTGAGAAGGAACGATCGGAAAGGCTTGACGCCAGACCGCAGGAATGTCGAGTGGAAAGGCACGTCGATACCGCGGAGAGGAATCGTTGCGAAGCCACGCTGGAGCTCCAGAGGCGTGGGCTTCTTGAGGGTAGCCTCGGCGCTGCCCTTGATGATCTCCTTGAGAGCACCCTTGGCCTCGTCAATGTTGCCACGCATCTCCTCAATGTCAATCTTCTGTTGCTTGAGGAAGTTGGTGACACCGGTGAGAGTGTCGAGCGCGCGCAAGTCACCAGCAGCGACGTACTGCATGTTGGCGATGTTGTAGTTGACAATCTCAAGGAGCCAGCCAGTCTCCTCGGAGATGCAGTCAACAACAAACTGCAGAGCCTCCTCATTGAAAGTCTTGGAGATTCTGCTGGGGTTGATGGCGCACATGGAGTAGTTGGAACGGCCAGCGGCGTCACGCTCGACAGCGACTTGCATGGTCAAGCCACGGTAGAAGACAACCGACACCAAACTCTCAATGGGCATGACCTCAGCCAAGGCGGCAAGGGCAGAGTATTCACCCAGGGAGTGGCCGGCGAAGGTGCAGTCCCGGGGAACGAGACCCTTGGACTTCATGTCCTCAAAGCTGGCCTTCTCCATGAGGGTAAGGGCGGGCTGAGTGAACTGAGTGGCGGACAGCAGGCCGGTGGGCGAGCGGTAGGTGTAAGAAGTGGTCTTCTCGTCAATCTCCTTGAAGATGCGCTCGGACTTGATGCTTCCATCGGCGGCAACGGTCTCGAAGGTCATGGCCATGTAGTTCTGACGGATGGCCTTGCCGCGAGGGCCACCGAAGTAAACGGTGAGCTCCTTCGGGTTGTTCTTGACGATGTTGGTGATGGAGAAGCCGTAGTTGTCAAGGAGGTACTTGTCGGCACGGTCCCAGACGTCCTTGGCAACGTCACTGCTGGCGTACAGCTCCATACCCATGCCCTGCTCCTGAGAACCTTGGCCAGTGAAGACGTAGGCGGTGACGGGCTGCTCAACCTCGGCCTCACCGAGAAGGACCTTCTCCTCAGTCTCCTTGTTGCTGGCCTCGACCTTGATGATCTTGCGGCCAGAAACCATACCAACGTGCTGAAGCTTGACCTGAAGGTCGTCGTTGGGGAGGACCATGCCAACCAGAGAAGCATGGAAGCTGCGAACACGACCAATATTGTTCTCAGCAGCCCAGGTCTCAACCAAGCTACGAACGGCAGCACTAGAGTACATGCCGTGAGTGATGGTACCAGGGAGGGCAGCGTAGTTGGCAAACACGCGGGAAACGTGAATGGGGTTGTAGTCACCAGAGACACGGGCGTAGTTCTCGTTGGTGGCAGGGGCGCGGAGCTGGAGAGGGGTACGACCGCTGAGAGGGATGGGGTTCTCAAAGTTGAGGGGCTGGTCAAGAGGGGCACCAGTGCGCTCGAGGTAGTCGACAACGGGATTGCCGTTGGACTGGCCAGCCTCGTAGTCAACGCTGGCAACCTGGATGATCTCCTTGGTGGGAAGCTCAAGAAGGACCTGGCCCTGGGTGGAAACGCTGCTGTACATCGTCTTGGTCTTGTAGCGGTAGAAGCTCTGAAGACGGAAAGTAAGAGTCTGTCCGAGGAGGTCGAGGTCGCGGGGCAAGTCATCAGTGTTGAACCACTGCTTCGACTTAAGAACAGCGACGTCCTTGCTGGTGGCCAAGTGCAGCTGGATGGGCGTCTCCATCTTGCGCTGGAAGGTGTTCTCGTAGTCGGTGTAAGCACCGCGGTACAAGAACTGAGAGGTGACGTCCATGACAGCCTCGCCATCGCGGTAGATGGTACCGCAGACCTCGACCATCTTACCAGACTCCTGGTTGATGACGGCGTTGATCTGAGCGGTGGTGGAGACCTCGTCGCCCTTCTTAAGAGGCTCGGCACCAGGCTTCATGCGGAACTCGTTTGACAGGTGGACAAGCTTAAGCAGGTCACCGTCAATGGTGCGAGGGAAGATAGGCTTGGTGATAGCCTTCCAGCCGACGACGATGGCAAAATCCATGGGCGCGTAGACAGTCTTGCCGGGACGCTCGACGAAGGCCTCACCAGTGTTGCCAACGGCATGGATGAAGTCGTTGATGCTCTCGCCAGTAATCGTAGCCTTGCCACCATCGAACTTGCTGCTGACATCGGCGTCGAGGTTGAAGGTCTCGTCACCGAACCACGCACGCCAGTAGAACTCCTTGATGCGGTCGTTACGACCCTCCATGACTTCGTGGATCGGGGCGTAGCCGGCCTCAGGGTGGTAGGTGAACTTGAGAGGCAGGGCCACGGGCTTGCCAAGAGCGGTGGTATCCTTGATCATGTTGACAACAATCTCGTTCTTGCCCTCCAGCTTGACCTCAATGACGTCAACGTACTGGTTGTGGCGAGGCTGCTCCTTGACAATGATCTTGGTGTTCTTCGCATCCTTGGGGTTGTGGATCTCGACGAAGAGGCCGCGGGTCGGCGCGAAGATACGCTTGAGAGGGTTTGTCTGGAACTTTTGGCCCTGAACAACAACCTCAGAGGTCAGAAGAGCGTGGCGCCAGCTGCGATCGGGGCCGGCAAGCAGGGCCAACCAAGCATCAAGGCTGGGAAGGGTCGCGGAAGGCGAGGTGGAGAGGCGGTAGGTGTTCTTGTGGGCATCATCGTAGGAAACGGTGAGGCCATCGACATCCTCAACAGGGATCTCAGTCTCAATGAGCTTGCCACCGAAGTACTCAATGGTAGGGATGGCCTTCTTGTCGCCCTTGTAGAGGTCTCTGGTCAAGTACTCAACGTGGGTCTTGTGAATGCCGTCAAGGATATCCTTAATGGGCTCATCAATGACCGTGGAGAACCTGACGGCAGTAGGTCCCTGAAGAATGCAGGTACGGCCGACATCCTGGCCAATGACGGCGCCGAGGTCCTCAGACTGCCACAGGGAGTCCTTCTTGAAATAGAAGTCAAAGTTCTCATCCAGGGTAGGAATGAAAGTGACGGGCTTCTGGATGGGACGGAGGCAGAGCATCAGGAAATGCTGGACATCCTGGGCGTTGATGAGTTGAGTCTCAGCATCGGGGTAGTGCGAGAGAATCTTCTCAACAGTCTCGTAAGGAGTCTGGAGATCCTTGAAGTCCTGGAGTTGAGCGACCTGGCCTGCCTTGGAGGTGAAGCGCTCCTCAACACGGCGGATGAAGTCACCAGTGAGTCTGATGAAAGTGGGGTCGATCCAGCGCTGCTCGTGGCGGATGTAAAGCAAGTCGACCATGCGGCGGACAACCTCACCGTAGGTCATGTCCTCCAGATCGACGGCCTGGCCAGCGCGGTTGCGACCGAACCAAACCTTCTGGAAGTCGTCGTTGAGCTTCTTGACAATGTAGTCGCGGTTCTTCTTCAGCTCAGCGACGCGCTTCTCCTTGGGGAGGGAGAAGATCTTCTTGTCCATCTCAGCCCAGAAAAGGACACCACGAGTAGCAAGCTTGTGGATAGGCTCGCCCATCTCAGACAGAACGGTGACGACACCGCCGGTAGGTCCAGTGTAGGACTTCTCCCACTCGCTGTCCTCAACACCAGGGGCGTCGATGATGGCCTGCTTGGCAGCAGGGCTGGTCTTGGCCTCCTTGGCGACCATCATGCGACTACCGAACAGAGTACCGTCGAAAGGCATGGGAGGGTAGCCGTAGCTCTTGGACCATTCACCGGTGAGGTACGGGTAGGTATCCTCAGCACCGCCGAAGCCACTGCCGGCAACCAGGATGATGTTCTCCTGACGACGGATGCGAGGGTACATGGTAAGGATAGGCTGGTGGAAATCCTCGTAAGAGTGGTGACCACCTCCACGACCACCGGTCCACTGCAAGAGAACGGGGAAGGTCGGGTTCGCCTTGGCGATGTTGACAACGGCCTGAATAGCATCGACGGAGCCGGGCTTGAAGCTGATGTGCTTGAGACCCAGGGTGTCAATGTATTCCTGAGCGACCTCAACGGAAGGAACACCAGCACCGATGGTCAGGCCCTCGATGGGGACACCCTCGGCTCTAAGTCTTCCAAGCATGGGGATCTGCCACTGCATGGCACGAGGGTTGACGTAGATCAAGTTGACGCCGATACCACGTCCAGCCGGGATGGCACCCTCGATCTTTCTCAGGGCGGCGGTCATCATGGTGGGGTCGAAGTAACCACCACCGGCCAACTCAATGTGGTAGCCAGCGTTCATGGTGGCAGCGACGAAATCCCAGGGGACCGTGCAAGGAGTCATACCAGCGACGACCATAGGAGGAAGGCCCAACAGTCTGCTCATCTTGGTATCGACGTAGGTATCGCCGTTGGATGTGCTGACCAGGCGAGGACCGAACTCCTTAACCCAGTCCACGGCATATCTGACCGCGTGCTCCTCATCACGGTCAAAAAGCTCAGGCTTGTAGCCAACTTCGGTGATGGAGCCGTCAACGGAACCAGCGAGAATAACGCGGACACCAGTACCCTCCTTGTTTCTGCTGGTAAGAACACCAAGACCAGAAATACCACCAGGGCCGAAGTCAAGGACGTGAGTAGCCTGGGGGAAGACGGTGGCCTTCTCCCAGTTGACGGGGTCTCTGGTAATGAGACGAATGAGAGTAGGCACGATGTTGCTGTCGCCAGCCTCACGGAGATCTTTGCCAGTGTTGGTGTCGAAGACCGCAGTGCCCAGAGACTTGGAGGGGATCTTGATGTTCTTCAAGTCCTCATCAATGAGCTCCGTCGCCTCAGCAAGGTACTTGCTGTGGAAGGGTGCAGTGATGGGCAGGAAGCGGTGGACGAAGCGGAGCTTGCGCTGGGTGTGAGGGATACGGTTCTGGTCCAAACCGGTAGGCGCCTTGACCTTGCGGAGCTGCGCGTTGAGACCGTACAGGGAGATGGGAGGACCCGTGACAACCAGGTTGCGCGGGCTGTTGATCAGAGAGATGGAGATGTGACGATCAGCGGGCAGGTACTTGTTGGTCGCATCAATGTGCTTCTGGACCTCAGCCTGGGAGAGGTCTCTAATGCTAAGCATGGGCGTGGGGGTGCCCTCGCCGTTGTCGGCCGACTCTCTCAGCATGGTGGGCGTCAACGAGGTGCGGGGGAACACCTGCTGGCTGCGAGCACCGATCCAGAAGAGAATGGTGAGCGCAGAAGGGGCAAGCTCCTTCCATGACTCCCAGGACTCGGCGGCGGCAGTGATAGCAGCGAGCACAATGCCCTGGGAGTGACCAGTCGTACCACTGATCTGGTCGCGGAGCAGACCAGGGTGAACGCCCAAAACCTTGCAAGTGACCTCGTAGTGCGCAAGCTGCACGAGACCAATCAAGGGGAAGCTGACAGGGGCTGAGATGAGGTAGTCGACATCGGGGGTCGCATCCTCGCTCTCGAGCCATCTCATGATATCCAAGCCCTTGGGGTAAAGCTTCTCAGCCTCGGGGTGTTTGGAAAGGTTCTGAAGGAGCTCGGCAGCGTTCAAAATAAGCTCGCCGACAAAGGGGTTGTACGTCTTGTAGATCTCGCGCAACTCCTCGAAGTACTCCTCGATGTTGCCCTGACCGCCGAAAATGGTGTAGATGTCGGCAGAGCCATCGTCGGATGCGCGGAAGAGCGCTGAACCGTAGGCCTTGATAGAGCGACCAGTGGTTTGTCTGGCTTTGTAGTAGCTGCGGATGACAACCAACTTCTTGGCGTCAATGCCGGGCAGCGTGGCAGCGAGAGCGTGGACCTCGTTGCCCTGAAGGTAGCCGCGCTCGAACTCGTTAAGGACGAGCTTCAGGACCTCTTCGTAAGAGCCTGACTCGTCGTCCTCGCCCTTTTCGACCTCGTCGGCGACGAAGCCCATGTATCTTGCGACCAGCTCTGCAACGGACGAAGGCTCGTCGTCTTGAGCAAGCTCATCTGTGGCGGTGGGGAGAGTGGCATTGAAGCGGTCCTTCAATTGGGAGGCATGGAAGTGCAGGGCGGTCGGTACGAGGAGAGAGGTCTCGAGAGAACCGTGGCGGAGAGTGAGAGGTCGCAGAGAAGCGTTGGATCGAGGGGTAGAAACGCCCGTTTGAGGGCCTGTTCCGGTGCCGTACATGATGACGGTTTTGGGGGGTATCAAGAAGACGTGTGAAGTTTTTTCGTGCTACGAATGGAGCTTTGCTCGCCACGTTTGTTAGCCGATATGCTTTTTCCCACCTCTCTCCCCTGCAGATCCAGAGGTCTGCCTCCAGCGGGGGAGCGAAAAACAGCAAGATGGCTTACCTGTGTGTGACTCCGTAAACTCAGCGAAGAGCAGGAGGCAGCTAGTTCAAGATGCTCCGGTATGGCGAGGGAAGGGCGAGGAAGTGGGTGGCAGTACTATCGTGTCTTTTAGGTATTGAGCGTGGGTGGTCGTCTAGAGCTTTCTCTCCTATTATCCGAGAGCAATTGGTGGTCTATGAAGGACAAGAAAAGGAAACGAGAAGACTGCCTGCAAGTTCTGTCCTTGACGTGGAGTTGTGGGAGGGAAGAGCAAGAGAGTGGCAGATGGCAGCTTAAAGAAGAGTGGGATGGTGAGCAAGGGAAGGTTGGGAGGGTTCTTGGAGGAGGTTATGATGGGAAGTCGAGGCAATTGAAGTGTATCCCTTTGGACTTTTTTTCTGCTGCGGCCCGGGTCTGGGTCCCTGCTGAATTTCTTGGGGGAGTGGGAGTTGAGTGAGTGAGTGAGAAGAGCGTGTGCATGTGTGTGTGTGTGTGTGTGTGTGTCTTCCCGGGTCTGTCTCAATAAGTGGGCATGGATTGATTGGGATTGTGGGATTGAGGACTGGGAACTTGGTACTTTCACGCCATCATTGAGGAGGGAGAGAGAGGCACGGCGTGTGTAGTGTGTACATTGATTGTGGTGTGCGGTGTGTGGATGCTCAAGTGGATGAATGGATGGATCCAACCTTTGGGCAAGTATCCGTACGAAGTACCTCCTGCTTCTCGACCTTTTTTTGTTTTTTCTTTTCGTGAGAGTGAGGTCAATCCCGCCAACGTAATTGGAGGTGTCTGGTCCAGTTTGGGTCACTTTTGGTGTGTCTACGAGGGGTAGAAAGGGGAGGTACCCAGGACAGGGACAGGTACATGGCACCGATACGCAGAGAAGACGAGATGGAACTCAACGATTAGAAAAAATTAGGCCGGGGTCATTTTGGGACATTGGAATGAATCCAGTTGGTTCGGGCTGACGGAGGAAAGGCACGTTGGACCGATGTTTGAAGTACGTACTCCGTACCTGCCACGCTTGCCCCCGTCTAGCTTCACTTTGCGCTTGCAAGGCAGGTACGGGTCGACGGGTGGAAAGTACCTACCTGAGTACCTCTGCCTTTTGCCGGCTCGAGGCAAGAGCACCTCAAGACTCAAGACTCGAGATTCAAGAGCGGAAAGAGCAGGGAAGGTGGCAGTTGGCCGTTTGCTGGCGTCAAGCGGTGTCTGCCTGCAGTACCTGGTCCCATGGCCAAGTGACCAATTGCTGCGGGAGCGTGTGTCAATGCCAATCAATCCAATTGTCTGTGTGTGTTCACAGTGCTGTATCATCTCTCTCTTTTTCTGCCTTTGCATCTCTCCAAAAGTCTCAAATCTCAATGTCTCGCCAAATTTTTTTTAGTTCTGTTGGGGATGGTCGTACACCCCAATCCACCCCTCCAGCTCCACCCTTGACTTCATGCAGCCCGAGTGATCCGCAAGGGTGCCGCTGTTGGAGAACGGGCGTCGATGTACCGGTACATACTCTCGCAACCTCCTTTAACCTCACTTCCTGCTCACCTTCTCTTCCACGCATCCACGCATCCAACACTCTTCCCAAGTTTCCCTCCCAAGCCACACTTGGATGATGGCGGCACGCAACCACGACGGATTGTGTGTATCTTGCCTCCGGATCTTTGCCGCCAACTCTTAGCTCATCGAACCGGGACAGCCTCCTTCGAGGTGCTGGATCAATGGACGCACGAATCCTCGGCCAAATGGCATCATTTCGGCTCTTGGGCCTGGACTTGCACCACACTTTTCAGCATCAGTGCTGATGTTAAGCAAATCGCACTTGTCGCGCACGCCGATAAGATGCCGAGTTGCTACCCCGGATGCAACAAACGGACGATAACGAGCTCGAAACTATCGCGCCGTCGCGGGCCATCTCGGGTTCTGCTGCGCGACATCGCTCGATGCCGAGTTGCCTCCCAGAGCAGCTCAAGGAAATGAAGTTTTCAATCCTCGCCTCTTCCTTGTATCGACTCGCCTCGCTGACCGGGAGTTGCGAAAAGGTATCGCCCACTTCGAATTGGACCCTAAAAGATCCAGATATGCGGGATCCCACCAAGTACAATGTACTCGCGGCCCCCCCGTTGCGTTCCCGCAACTCCCTGGCCGGTTGAAAGGCGGTCAACATCCTTAGCGTCGTACCCAGGATTCTGCCGCCTCCTTCTCCCCACCGCTTTCACCCCACGCCTGGGGCGGGATGCTGGGGAGGATGGGAAATGCGCGGGACCCTGAGGAAGAGGATCCGGCAGGGAGAACGGCATGTATATTTTTGATGTACCGAAACCAGCCGCCATACCGCACTCGCAACTCTGGCCTGGCACGCCTGGCTTGCTGGGGCGGGAGCTATCTCTCTGCCATGCCACGCCGCCCACGCGGACGGTTGTCGAGGAATGCAAGCTCTAGCCTCTGCGTACCCAAGTGCCCTGTTTCTCCCCTTGAGAGGCGTGGAGGGGTAACTACCTGATAGCGATGAGAATCGTACGGATCACTGGGCACTAATTCAGTAAGACATACCGCCTGCCCGCTGCCCAGCCCAGCCCTGCCCAGCGCTTTTAAGCATGAACTGATGAGGAACAGGGCTGGAATTCTCGAATATCGACAGTTGTTGCACCGAGCTCATACACTCGGTCTCCGATTGCTCATCGATGTCTCTCGGTTGGCTCGGACGAGCTGAGTTGAGGGTTTGAAGAATGCTGTTGGTGATGGGCGGTCAGAGGCAAGTCGCAGTTAAGTGGTTTGTTGCGCATCACAATGGTTTGTTGGCTGTGTCTTCCATCAACTGGGCATATCCGCCCACCTGTCGTGGCTCATCTACCGAAGAACTGGAGCGACCCGTCGCACGCAACCGAAAGGTCAGCAAGAGACTACCTAGTCAATTTTGAACTGAGTAGTTCCTGGGCCTGGCCGGGGCTTGAGCTGAAGCAAACCAAGCCCTTCAAACAGCACATTTGAGCCTCGACAGAAAAGCTTGGGTCCATTCGTTGTCGACAACTCCAGTCGTAAAGTATCGCTACATTGCACCCCCATCGACCTTTGGCGGGTTCCTGGAGCAGCGACCACTTTTGCCCCTCCTTGCCCTCCATTTCCCATTTCCCCCTTCCACTCTTCTATGGCCTTCTGCTTGCAACATGGAGGCCTTCTTTTTTTTGGCTTGTTGCTGAGGAGTTGCGGCTGTTGCTTCCCGGATTCCCGTTGGTTGACAGAGGAGAAGATATCTTATCATGGCACCACTGTCCCACAGCTTGCTGCACTCGTATAGTGTTCGTACACGTATGCTACAACCATCCCGTTGATGACACTTTTCACATCAGAGCTGTCGCTGGGAAGAGCCGTAGCTCTATCCGTATCTCTTATCGGTATCAGTATCAGCATCCCGCCAAGCATCCAAGCTCCAACAAGCTCCAACAAGCTCCAGCTCTCCCCCCCTCCAAAGGAAAAGTGTGTGGACAGTCGTTGAAGGTCGCAAGAGGCTATGACCAACAGGAACGCGGCGATAAGGATGAGCTGATAGAGATACAATCAGAGTTACGGGTCTTCGGAACGGGTACATCTCAAGGTCAAAAGTGAGGTGAAGCTTGGGAGATCTCAGACTTAGACCGTACGTAGTAGACACACAGAGCCTCGCGAGGGGCTAAACGTTTGCTGCACACGCTAAGTAAAATCGAGGACTCGAGGGGCAGGTACGGCGGCCACTAGTCCGAATCCAACATTCCAGCAGTTCGGGAAAGCGCTGCGAGCGCGGCGTGGAATTGGAAGTCGGGCAGAAAGACGGCGAGAAGATGGAAGTCGAGACATTGAACGCGCGCCACACGAGGCTAACGACAGCGCCCAGCCGTGCCAGCCTAGCTCAGGGAAAGAGTCCGAGAGCTGGCAAGCCGCAAGCCTTGGATGTGAAGCTGCAGATCAGGTACAGCTACTTGGCTTGTTCTTGTCTCATCCCGCCTCGCGACATGGCACGTACCCGCACTTCGCATTACACGACAGGCTGGCTTGAAGAGGTGGCAGGCCAGGCGCAAGACAGCCTTTGATACTCCGTGGAGGGCAGCGATAAGATAGCGAGGCGCACGGAAGGAGTCACTTGAGACTGGTTGATAATGCATGCAGCACGATGATGCGGCAGCTGCCACTCTGCTCGTTCTCTCGCACGGAAGACGAAGAGCACTGACTGGCTTCGGTCTAGCCAGGTGACAAGATATCTTACGTATCAGTGTCCGATGGTGAGGAAAAGCTTGGCCCCAAAGAATTCATGCTTTGCGTGGCTTCTATGTTGTTGGATGTTATGAATTATTTTTGCTGGATCATGGATGGCCTACCCGAAACTATTTTTTGCGGAGGTGACGCCTCAACTCCAACGTCAACTTGACATCAATGACGGATTGCGGATTGCCCTCCCTGCCGTCCCTCCCAAAAAGATGGTGATCCACCGTCCTACGGGTGCCCACCCTGCATTCCCCCAATGAAATGGTTTTGTGGGGAAGGCCCCCTGATCATCCCATGCTCGATTGGGGAAAGCGTCTGAATATGGTTGAGGAGCTTTCTACGGGTACTACGTACCTCATGTATCGGCCAGGCGTTGCAGCAGCAAACCCCAAGAAAAGAAGAAGCCAGCACCCAGCAGCCACACCAAACTGACCACACACCTCCCAGGCAATTTACACGCCAGCAGCTTTCTTCCCACCTGCATGGGGGGAACATGGAAACTTGAAGGGGACAACGCGTGAGGTGCCGGGAAGTTCACGTCTCCCATCGCGAGGCAAGGCAGGTTGGCCCCACTTGATTGTATGTACCTTTCTCAGGGCCCTGCCGCCTTTTCTTTTTCCCACGTCCCCCCCTCGGGAGGCAGAACTGGAAGACGAAGAGAGGAAAAACGAAAAAAGAGACAGCCAGTTGAATGTCTCGAGACATCAGTCCGTCCACCTCATAGGATCCATCCACCTTTCACTTGAGTGTCCCCGGTGGACTCCCCAAGTACCACCACCACCAACTTGCATGTACCTTGTACCTGACCTCACCTGAGGTACTTCGACATT